AATTCCGAAACGTCGGTGGAGTGGGGGGACGTTGCCTGGAAGAATTCCCCGGGCAAACGTAATGGCTCGCCATACACCAATTCGGCGGAAGAAGTTTGGAGGTCTTCCTTAAATGCACTTCTAATGCCTAATAACACCAAAGGCAATGAGTCTACCCAGTTGCAATCAGCGTGGCACATTATGGCTGCTTTCAGCTGACGGTGGAATCGTTCCACTAATCCGTTACAAGCTGGGTGGTACGCGGTTGTCCTGCGGTGTTTGAATCCGATCATTTTCCCAAGATATTGGAAAAGTGACGATTCAAACTGCCCGCCGCGATCAGTGACAATATCCGTTGGGCATCCAAATCTGGATATCCAGGATAATAATGCCTTCCCAACTGTTTCAGCTGACATGTCTACCATAGGGGTAACCTCTGGCCAGCGAGTGAAACGATCCACCGCGGTGAAGCAATAGCGAAAGCCTTGAGAAATTGGTAAAGGGCCAATAATGTCCACATGAATAAAGGCAAATCGTGCGCTGGGAAGATCGAAGGTGCCCATAGGAGATGACACATGTCGATGGACCTTAGCGCGTTGACATGCCAAACATTGACGAGACCACTCCCGACAGTCTCTGCGCACCCCAGGCCAAACAAATCGATCGGCGACCAGTTTCGCCGATGCGTTAGAGCCTGGGTGACTGAGACTATGGAGACAGTCGAAGGTTTGTGTCTCCTCAATGGCTTGGTCACGAATGGTCTTGGAGTAGCTGTGCTGACGTCACAATAAAGTTCTGTGTGACAATTCGGAACTTTCAACTTTTTTTTAATCGGAGTGATGATTCTCCTTGAAGCAGTTTGAGTCAGTTCGTTGTCTGAAGCTTGTGATTCAGCCAGCACATTTAGGTCGACAGGCATCTGTAGCTCATCGACACGAGATAATGGATCGGCGACGACGTTATTCTTACCGGAGATGTGTCGGATATCGGTCGTGAACTGTGAGATGTAGTCGAGGTGACGATACTGCCTAGGCGAACAGTTAGCTTTCCTCTCACTGAAGGCATAACTTAGTGGCTTATGGTCAGTAAACACCACGAAGTGTCTGGCTTCAAGCATGTGACGAAAGTATTTTATGCTTTCGTAGATAGCCAAAAGCTCACGGTCATACGGTGAGTATTTTTGTTGGGTTGGACTTAGCTTCCGTGAGAAGAAAGCTAACGGTTCCCAAACGTTATTTTTCAGCTGCTGCAAAACTGCTCCCATTGCCAGGTCGGACGCATCTGTTACCAGAGCGAGTTCGGCCTGACAATCTGGGTGTGCCAGTAGTGCAGCGTTAGCGAGACTTTCTTTACATTCATTGAATGCCAACAAAGTGTCGCCAGAAATATCGACTGGTTGAGAGCTTTTTGTGCTCCCAGCGAGTAAGGCGTTAAGGGGGGCTTGAACTGAAGCGAAGTGTGGTACAAACCTTCTATAAAAATTCAGCATCCCCAAAAATCGTCGCAGTTGCCTTATGTTTTTAGGCACTGGGTAGTCCGTTATGGCTTGAACCTTTGATTCTAGAGGTTTAGTGCCAGAGGCGGATATTCGGTAGCCTAAAAATGTTACCTCAGATGCCCCAAAGACGCACTTAGGGGTGTTAACCAGAACACCGTATTCCTTCATGCGGCTGAAGAGCTGATGGAGGTGTGTTTCGTGCTCTGCTTCGTTCCTGGAAAAGACAAGAAAGTCGTCCAAGTAGCAAAAGCAAAAGTCCAGACCTCTTGTCATCTCGTCCACAAACCTTTGGAATGTTTGGCCCGCGTTTTTTTAACCCAAAACTCATAAAGGGAAATTCATACAGGCCAAAAGGTGTAGTGATGGCGGTCTTAGGGATGTCATCCTCAAACACTGGGATTTGGTTGTACGCCTTCGTCAAGTCGATCGTAGAAAAGACTGTACAACCAGAAATGGAATGGGAGAAGTCATGGATGTGCCTAATAGGATAACGGTCTGGTATAGTCCGTGAATTAAGCATCCGGTAATCGCCACATGGCCGCCAGCTATTATCCTTCTTAGGCGCCAGGTGTAAGGGGGAGGACCAGGGGCTTTCAGAAGGACGCGCGGTGCCGTTGTAGATCATAAGCTCGAACTCTTGTTTGGCAATCTTAAGTTTATCCGGTGCCAGTCTGCGAGGGGTACATGAGATAGGAGGACCAGGTGTGGTTCTAATATGGTGTACCGTATTGTGCTTTGGGGTCACCGGTGTGCCTGACGGTCGAGTGATTTCCGGAAACTTACTTAAAATGTCGTGATATCGCGAATCGCCTGTTGCAACCTTGACGGAACATATATCATCGTTAGCGAAAATTGCATTCGATATTAATGTAGTGGTATTATCAATTAGGCGTTGATTACGGCAATCTACAATTAAGTTATAAAAGCTAAGGAAGTCAACGCCTATAATTGGCTTAGTTACATTAGCTACAACAAATCGCCAAACAAAATTACGTCTAAGGCCTAAATCTAATTTTAGCTCTATAAAACCAAATGTTTCGATAACCGAACCGTTAGCAGCATTGAGTTCGAAGTTCGTCTTGGCTCGCCGCTCCCGAAGTGCAGAACGAGGGTAGACGCATAAATCGCTACCAGTGTCTACCAGGAACTGCATATTCGAACTGCGGTCGGTGACGAACAGGCGACCATTGGATGATGGGCAATCGTTTGTCGCCTCTACCGACTGCCTTTGGAGTTTCCCGCCTTGTGGAAGTCGCAGGGCTTTAGGCACTTATGAGCCTGTGCACCAAACTTAGCGTGGTACCAACACAAAGGGTACTTGCGGTAGCTGGAGTTTGAGCGGCTCCGTGGTCTAGAAGTGGAGCGCCGACGATCCCGCGCCCTTGCACGCTCGGTTGAGCAGCAGGCAGCATGGGTATGTTCCTCCAACTTCAGTGTGAGGTGCTGCACCATCCGCTTCAGTTCTGCGATCTCGTCATCTTTGTGTGACGCAAGTCCCCTGCTCGAAGATGCCGCGGCGACGTTGTATGGTGACGTCAATTCCTGTATGCGATCTGCTAAATCTGCAAGCTGCTCTAGTGAGTGCGTAGGTTGCGATGCCAACACTGTCTGTATATTAGACGGGAGCCGGTTGCTCCATATCGTCCTGAGAAAGTCATCAGGTACGGAAGGTCCAGCCAAGTCTTGGAGGTGCCGTAAAAACTGTGAAGGCTTCCTGTCGCCGAGTTCTTCGTGGGTCAGTAGTTGTTTAACTTTCTTTTCATGTGAGGCGGATAACCGTTTAATCAATTCAGATTTAATTTTCTCATAACGGTTTTTTGAAGGAGGGTTGATGATAATATCTTTCACTGCCTTCGCGTATTGTAGGTCTAGATTGTTGGTGACATTATGAAATTTTATGTCGTCGTCACTTACATTATTACAATTGAACTGACCTTCGAGTAACGCGAACCACAATTCCGGGTCTTCGGGCGAAAAAGGTGGTACTTTCAAATTAATTTTTGCCGATTCGTTTATCTCGCGGTGGGTAGAAGCACGCACGCAGCGCGCCCTTCTTAGGGTCACCTTAGCGTCTGACCCTGAACCGGCAGTCTTCACATTATCGCTGCTATCACTCATTTTGTGCTTGATTTAATGTCCTTTGAGGGGTCACCAGTTTGGTAGGTGGAAGAGGTGAGTTCGTGTGTGTCGGGTGAATATGTAAAGTCAATACACTGTTCACAACATTTATTGTCTACACACATATACGACCACAGAAGAAAGTCAGAAGGAGTAAAAGATAGCACAAAACAATAACAAAAGAGGATAGCGAAAATAAGCAACTACAGCGGAACTATGACAACACGTAATATCTGATAAAGCGTAAGCGCAGCGGGAAGCAACAAGCGACTGGCGATAGGAGTTAATGTACCGCGCCTCACGAGTGTCTTATGACGTAGCACGGGCTCGGACGGAATCGCTGTTGCCGGGCGCCCGATCGGTGAATCGTATATAAAAAACGTTAGGTGAGCCGCGTCGCGTCGCGGCACAGCTGAACGTTGATAGCGATCGTAAACATTGGTAAATAACATTAGTAAATGAATACGCTACATGTGATTAATAATAAAACGTGAAAATAATATATACTTAATATAGATATGAGAAACATATATAAGAATTAATAAATAAATATTTATTATTAACAAATACATATTAATTTAAAATATTTAGCCGCCACATATTTGGATATGAAACCTCTAACCATGATGCAATGGTATACAGTATCTATTTTGTCTACATAACATATATATCATAATTGACACAATTTTCAACATTTGATTTTCCTAAAACTTCACAAGCTCTATTAGTTACTCAACTCGGCAGCCTGACAGTGACAGGCCGACAAACTGGTGTGTTATTTTTATGTCCCTTGCCCACAATGTCAGCTGAATACAGCAAGCCTCTATTGTGTGAAGTTATTGCACTATTCATCATCATCATCATTTCAGCCTGTTTGAGTCCACTGCTGAACATAGGCCTCCCTCATAGATTGCCATGAAGTATGATCCTGAGCCACCTGCATCCATGGACTATTAAAGTATTTAAAATATTTAGTGCATTAAAAAAACGGTAGTTTAGTATGTATACACACTTTTATTTCCTTGTAAATATTTAAGGCGAATCTCAGATTCTATAATGAATGAGTTATAACTTTAAAAGCATTGATTATAACAGCCATAACTCGTAAGGCGCAATGTAGATCACTATTTTTTCGACCAATAATAGTTTACATATGTCTTGAATAATCAAAAATGGTACAAATACATATACAAAGAGGACAAATAGGTATATCTGCAATGATGCAGTATTACCACTGGTAAGGACAAAAATATGTATGTGGGTCCAGCTATTTCATTAACAAATAACAAATCTTGAAAAAGTATTTATTTTTTATAATTATCTTAATATTATAATTAATATCACAAACATTTGATGGCTTAATTATACAATAACATTATTTTTATAAAATAACTTATATTTTCTATCGATTGACAACTGTTTCAACAGCGACTAATAACCTGAAAAAAGGTATTCGTTAAAAGATGTGATTGACATTTTAAAGTAAACTATGATATTCAACTAACTTTTCTAGCAAAATGTTTCTTTGTCTTTCAATCTCTAGTCTATCTTTCTCCATTTTAAGTCTTATATTATTACACCTCTTCTTCTCTAATAGTTTTTGTTTTTCTATTCTTATTCTTTCTTCTTCCAAACTCAGCAGTCTGTCATGCACAACTCCTGAAATAATAATACCAAAGTAAAGGTTGCAATTTATAATTTATTGAATGGTTAAATTTTGGAAAATTTATAGTAATTTACATTACTATAAATTTTCCAAAATTGATAACCAACGATGTAACCAACAGAACTTAAATCCGAAAAAATTTATAAATAAAAAAGAATAAAAGTTGTACTGGACCGAAATTTCAAGCTAAACCATTCATGAATCGACCTGAGGAAACACAAGTGCAGGCATTTACGAGGAGTTCAGTGACATAAGCACACACAGAAGAATTATATATATAAAGATGTAAAAGTAATATGTCACATATTTTTATTAATATAGATCCAAATAATATACACATCAAGGTGAACTTACTGACTGGTCGACCCCTTTTCCACATATGTTTTGCTACACCTGGTGCTGATGTAACTTCATTTGAATGTAGATCAGAATCAATTTCGTTAGTAGGGCCACTATCCAACTGTAATTGTATTTCTTGTTGTGAATATTGTTGATTTGCTATCCATTTCTGCAAAATTAATATTTTATAATATTATGAAATAGAAAAATTCTTTCGTTGTTTACCAAAACAAACAACCATTTCCATCTCATTACCTCTAAATAGAATTCTTACCATACTACTACTTGGACCTTCATTGCACAAGTCATTATTGAGCTCATTACTCTGTGCTGGTAGCTGAAAACATTAAATGGCATAAAAAAATTACTTTTCAATATAATATTTTAAAGCTAATTTACATTAAATGAAGGTAAGTAATATTATATAGAACTCAAGTCAACAATAAAAGATTTTTTTAAAGATTTATAGAAAATATTTAGTAATAAAACATTGTGAAAAGCAGGGAGCAGAGAAAAGTTTTCAGTAACTTTAGCTTTTTTCTTTACATTTGACTTCCAGTCCCTCCAGGTCTGTCATAAGGATATGAATTTGGAATGGAAGAGTAATATACATAATATTTAAATTTAAAAATTTCATAGGACCAGGATATAAAATCAAATTGCTCTAATATAATAAACTAATAGCAACTAACCAGATACCGAGCCATCACGGCTACATCACAACCTGCATATTTTCAAAATAACATGAAAAAAAATTTTCAAATATATGTGAAGTCCAGTAAAAATATAAGACACAATCGAAGTTTAATAAAAGGCTTTTATTATCATAGACATAAATACAAATTCTACAATTATTTCATTTTAGCTTTGTATAATATTTAGTTTCTTATTTGTAATACATAGGTGGCGTTAGTAGTAAATTAAAACACACTATGGTTTGACCGTTGTTAATTAATGAGGGTCCGCAAAAATTGTTGATTAAAAAACTTGCAACGTGAACCTTGTTTATTTCAATTAACCTCACGGACCCAAAATACAACCGCTTTGAATTTGTACATGGTCCTTCGTTGCCGAATAGTCAGCCAGTGAGTAGAAGGCAGACATTCGACTCGCGCGCGAGTGTTGTGAGTGAAGTTTTTTTGGAAAACCGAACTTGCGGACGTTGGATCGACGTCGCAACCGCAAGTTGCAGGAGCCGATCGAGGCTTAGAAGAGCATCATCGGTCAGCTTCAGAGGGCGGTGCCTGCCCTTTGGAGAAGAGGAAGTCTACACAGTGTCGTGCTCTGAAGTATTAGAGCTAGCACTGTCATTACTACAAATATTATTATTGAATTTCATTAATTGTAATAGAATTATTACTATCATTGATGTCGTTATTATATATTTGTGTTATTAACAAGCTAAGGAACTAACGCCATCTAGCGTCAACTATTAAAACCACTAAAGAATAAAGACGACATAAAACCCCCTATTCAACACTAGATGGCGTTAGAGGAACATTTTAAGATAAGAAAAAGATGGCGCGTAACGGAAAAATGTTACAGTAAATTTTTTTCCAACCCCGATAAAGAAGTTTCACTTCAAAAATTTCAAATAATAAAAAAGTTGAAAATTAAATGATGTCCGCATACATACTCAGCTGACGCCAAGAAAGTCTTCCGAGTTGTTTGGGCGCTCACACAGTTTAGAGGACTAGCTGAATTAAAACTTAGCAACCAATAAATATGATACTAATTTTAAAATTTAAAATAAGTTTCATTTATAATGTGTAATCACGTAAATACAAGAAATTATCATATAAGAATGGAAGTAATAAGTCAATTTACTTGAGAAAATTTATTATAATGAATGCAAAAACCAATTTTTTTAGCATAAAAATAACTCGGGATTATTCAATTACAATATTTTATTTACCATCAGAATCGTACTTCATAAAATAACCCAAAATTAATGCATTAGAATTTGCATCTGAGCTAATTGGCTGTAAGTATCTCCAGGCATTCTATATGCAATGTTTCCCGCGAAAGTGTTGAGAATTTCCGCTTGTTCTCGCAACCACTCGATTTGCTGCAAAAGAAAAAGTAATTTATATGCCATTGTTAACATATTGTTCAGAGTAAGGGGTTCGGGATCGGAGTGAAACGCTTTAATCTTCACTTTATTACTCGCACAAACGCGCGGCCCTTTCGCTTAAATCCTCACTAAGTAGTAAGTCACAGACACCGACACCCTCTTATTGTCGAACCAATCTTCACATACGCTTTAACAGATGCGACGGTTCACACGTAGCCGCAACAAGCCTCCGCGTACGCCTTTAGACCTCTTATCACATGCATTTCGTTTTGACTAGACTGTTCACTTCTTCACTTTTACCTTTTCTTCTCAATTCTTACTCTTCGAGTTCCTCCACTGAATTGCCCGTCTAGCGCGCTGTGAGCCCCTTTTGTAGTCCGAATATCGTCTTTGCGGCCTAAAACATTCTATTTTTTTTTATGTCAAAGTTGCCAAAAGAGCAGACGGTTCACCTGATGGTAAGTGAATAATGCAGCCCATGGACATCTGCTAAACCCGAGGGCTGCAGAACCGTTAACAGACCTTTTGAAAATTAGGCTCCGGATACTTCACTCAATAGACGAAACGCGAAAGTATTTGTCATACTTCCACTTTACGCTGGTCTTCTGTGAGGTGGTGGTACCTACCCGGAAGGGCCTGCCCATTCGTGCAACAGCCGAGGCTGATGCGTGACCCTACCACCGTAATTCTAAAAACTATTTGAATTTCGTTAGTCCTTTTAAAAGAATTTTCTGGAATCAGGGCCCGAATTTCCGGCTGCCATCAATGTGTCAGGTAGACTAGAAGAAAACTAGGCTAAGCGACCACGACGAAAGCCGCACTGGACCGCTAAATAATTGATTATCTTAATGATATTACACCTTGGAAATGAATCTCCAGGCTCCGTCAAATGTCCCTTCCACCGGGTTCCCGCCTTGAAGTGGCGGAGGGTCTTAGAAGCCGTGGCTAAGTCACCCACGGGGAAGCTAAAAGGAACCTATACTGGGCCGACTTGTGGTGTAAGGCTGGCCCGAGCGGGCCGCTCCGAGTGGGCTCATTGAACCCACTCTGGATGCGTGTTGGAGGGTGCAGGGGACAGGTCGAGGTTGGTAGAGGTGGAGCCACTCTCCCCGTCTTCTGCTACCGAGGAGGAGTCCCGGGGGAAGAGTGTCGGTATTGCTTTGGCCACGGTCCCTATCCTCCGCGACTTGGCGGGGCAGCACCGTTGATGCAGTGGTGGTGGGGCCGCGGGGGGAGAGGAGTGTGGGTATTACGATGCACCGTTCTCCCTACTATCCGCGTGAGCGGCGGAGCCACAGACCAGGTCCGCCGCTGGGGGCTGGGAGGTTTGGCTCTGGCTCTGGCTTGAGGGAGAACTGGCTCTCCTGGCTCCCATGGCCCCGGTCAGCGAACTCGGGGGAGTTCGTTGGCCGTAAAATTGAGGCCGAGTAGGAAGGCGCGCTGAATGTTCTTGCGCGCCTTACCTGGAGGAGGGGAGTTGCTCCCCGGGAGGGGGCTGCTGAAACGGCCTGCGCTGGCAGGGTCGCGGAAGTGTGGGAAAGCGTTCCCGTGACACACACGGTGCACATAAGTGTAACATCGTGGAGGTTTTAGTCGGTGCGAGCCCGACATAACCCGCTCTTGCTCCCGCGAGGGCGGGTATGCGTAGGCATTTCCCTCACGTCAAAAAAAAGGCGCCGTTAAATGTACTTTAATACATTGGAAACATGTTTCTTTGTCATACATTGGTACGAAAAAATGTAGTGAATAAAGATAATTTAATGTGAGTTCCTCCTGTTTACGTACTTGTTGTTTCTGAATAGTATAGTACGCAGTAGCCCCCTATCGACGTGCTTGTTCGTCCTGGCGGCGCGCTAGTACCTCGTAGATGCGCTTATGTTTGTAGTGCGAAGAACGCTGTTCCTCTCAGTGGCGCGCTAGTTCCTCTAGTCTGCGTAATTTTCCCAATTGTACACGTCTTTGTTTTTCTTGAAAAGCAGGCAAATGTGCCAGAACTATATTTAGTGCAACAGTTTAATTTGTATTTGCAGTCTGAGTGGATTTATTTACACGTTATTTTTGTTCCTTTGGTATGAGTGGCATTCTCCACTCCCACTTCTGACACCAATTGTTACGAGCTAGTGGATCGGGATTGGAGTGATACGCCGGTCGTTCAAATCTTTACTTTGCCTACTATTGCCTACTTATCATAAAAAATAACCACGAAGGCTAAGGCGGAACCTCTGCTCCCGCTTTAACCTTCTAACCTAACCGGTCATATTGCTCTTTAAACCCATCTGTGACTCATTAAATAAAATATTTAATCGAATAAACTATACGAGTATGATCATTAAATAAAAAAAAAATCGAACATCGATACGAGTACGTATACGTCCAGTTCCGCGGTCAATTGGAAGGTAAGGCCAAATTGGTCCTTGGTGTGTTCAACAAGGCGAGACAGTATTCACGTCGGCTCAACGCCTAAGCCTATATTAATATACTACACATGGAGTACGTCTCTCATCTCCAGGCGGTAGCGAAGCCCCCCTTTACCAGCTTCTCTCCCATTTGACCGCATTTAACGTAGAGCGGCTCGGATTATCGACGACGAGGGTCTCTCCGATCGGCTTGATCCTTTGGGTGAATGATATTAGACTCCAAACAAATCGCTTAAAGTGCAATAACACAAGGTGGCAACATCAAAACAAGGGTAGTGACAACAAAATATGGCCAAAGAAGATAAATTATATCAATTTATCACCACTAAGGTGGTAGAGGCACGCAGCAGCCTCGGCTGTTGCACGAATGGGCAGGCCCGGCCGGGTAAGTACCACGACCTCACAGAAGACCAGCGTAAAGTGGAAGTATGACAAATACTTTCGCGTTTCGTCTGGTGAGTGAGGTAGCCGGAGCCGAATTTTCAAAAGGTTGTCAAAGCATCTGTAACCCTCGGGTGTAGCAGATGTCCATGGGCGGCGGTATTCACTCACCACAGGTGAACCGTCTACTAATTTGGCAACTTTTCACATAAAAACAAAAAAAAACTACGGTATAATCTACTTACTTTGTACAAAACTAAGCATTTTCGTATCAACGCTTAACACTTTATACATAAGTTTATTGATATTACATATTTAGGAATAATTAAGAGCTACTTAGCTTACTTATGACTGTAATTAAGAAAAAGCATTCTACGGGAATTTATTTTGGAAGTTCTGGTAGCGGATGGTTTACCTTATTTGCGGGTATGTTGTGCGCGTTGGAGTTGCGCAGCCGCTGTCGGTGCGCCAACAATATAGTGCAAAGTGCGCGCAGCACAGCTGGCAGACTTCGTAGTAGCTCGCCGCGAGCCAGCCGCGCCGCTGACACGCGCGCCTCTAATTCGCCCGCGTGCAACGGAACTATTTCGCATTCACGGAGTGTCTGCAAAGTGAAGGAAAGATAAAAATATATAAACTAACTTTTGCGGTCACATATTTTTACACAAGTTATACCTACTTCTCTTTTTTCGGTTGCAAAGCGACCAACTTCTCGGTATTACCATGGCAACCGATACGAACTTTTTGACATTTACTTATAATTCCAAGTTACCTATTTAATTAAACCGGTGTCAATTGCATTCAATGTCATTTTAATTCACAAAATTTTTAATTACATTTCTTTTGTTATGCCAAAGAAGTATACCTTCTTACGTACGTACATATATACACACACGTTTTTATTATTAGGTAACAAGGACACCATTAAATTATTAATATTTTATTATAACACATTAAAATTGGTTTGTACCTCAAGGGCTCCTTCGTAGTTTTCACTATGAAACTGATCAAAGAATGTCATAAGCTTGCAAAGTTTCATATAAGCTTCTACCAATGCTGCAGGCAATGCTGTGGTGTCGGCATACCGTAGACGTTTTGACACATGATCTGCTAGTAAAGATAAACGTTGCCGTAGTCCACTAGCACCTCCGCCGCTGTTTACCACTTGGGCTAATAGCACGCAAAATAGTTCTAAAACTTTTTCCATGTTCTGAAACACACATTTATATATTTATGATTGAAGTTATAAGTGTCGTAAATAAGTTTTCTTCAACAAGGAGTTAACCCAAACCGGTGAAGTGTACGAGGATGATTAGTTTGTAAGTTGAATAAAGTACCCTAATAATCTCAAGTCCAATGTATTGTCGATACCTAGATTTTTTACCATTTTAGTAAATTTAATTATAATTTCATATATGTATGCTTGTATCAACGTCTCGTTTGAAGGTCGTGGGTACAGACTTGCGCATATAATTGGAGTTCGTCAGCATACAAATTGTACGTACAATAAGTATGATATATGCGCAAGTTCATAAGAATAGAAAACATTATTGGGAGATAGTATGCTGCCTTGCGGTACGCCAGCCTTGAACTCAGCCCAAGATGCGCGTTTTTGCCCCAAGGTAAATGACTTCCTCACCCGCGAAGACGATGAAAACGCTTCGTTCGCTGGATGTGGGAAGGGGAGGATGGCACGCTAATATAATCAAAAATCGTAATTTACGCAACCACTAGCTGTTAATCGCGGCTTTGCAGGCGCGACCAATGGGAAATTAATAATAAATTTTTTCCTACTTAGTTGACACTTATCATTACCTATATTTTGGACAATTCACATAAATTATAGCCTATGTGTTATTCTGATGTATAAGCTATATTATTGTAAATTGACTGGCTGCTAGGACGATCAAGAATTTGGCGGAATGAAGCAGCGGATGATCTGCCAAAGGATGGATCGAGTTCCCTATCTGGCCCAAGCCTATCCTGGGAGTGCATAAATCTGGCTCTAGACACCAGTTTACCAGACATAGCGAGTTCATGCCAATACACTTTGACGCGGATCGGCTGGCCTGACCCATTCAAAACAGCTGATCCAGGGCTTCTCACCCAAATTTGCAGCCGAGGAACTTAAACTAAACGAGTGAAGTGTAAGTATACTCATTAGGGCCCTCACGGGGCACTGTAAGTTAAACAAGCAAATATGTTAGGGTGATTGGTTAGAAAAGGCTATCTAGCTTTGAAGGAAAGAGTACTTTAGATCTTCTATATTGCAGTGGTCATTGGGACTTACTACTTGATGACAATTATAATGTGTGGGAGGGGTGGGCCCATTGGCATTATTATACATCTATTATACTATACGCAACATATGCAACATTTTAATCTTTATTGTTATTTTTTAATATAAGCCTCAGCCATTGAATCTTGTATTGTTAAAGTCATTTTTTAATTTATAAGCAGTATAGACATATGCTTAGATTGGGAACATCTGCATTATTAACATAAGTACAAATTGAGATTGATCAAGCAATGTGATAATACTCGTCATTAGAACTTTAGAATTTTTCTTTCTTTTTGGACTCTTAGATTTTCACTATTTCTTGTTGTAATGAGTAAACTGACTTGTACATTGTAAATACACTAATATCATACATACCCCAGCAATATCATATACAGTTATGGCATCTTCAAAAAGGCCTTTGTTCACTAATTGTTCTGCAACATTAAGGGCTATAACCTAAAAAATAGTAAATAAAATTTTAATTAACAGTAGTTAAAATTAAATTATAAATTTAATTTTTCTCAATCATACCTTACTGTCTATGTGAGGGTTATTGAATTGATCTAATAAGCCAGTGCTGCATAATCCTGTTGTAGGATCCATTCTACCAAACAATAATTCATAATCCCTGCTTTCTAATGCAAGATCTGTGCAGCAACACATGAATAAGTTTTTACCACTGGGGTCCTTTAGATTTCTAAAAAAATATAGATGATATTAATAAAAAAAAATATATAAAAATGATAGTAGTTAATAAAATAACATCAATCATTTATCAAACCTTAAAAAGAAGTAATAATGCAAAGCATCTGAAGGATCTGAAAGTTCAAATTTTCTAACATAAAGTAGCAACAATCTTGCTAAATTCAGTCTGCGTAGTGGTGATGGATCATCTGTATCAACAGATACTGAAAACAAAACATTTGCAGATTAATCATCACACAGGGAACAATTTGGGGCTGAAAAAATTAACTTTTTTGTCTTTTTTTGATCAACATAAGTAAGCAATCAATTAACCAGATATTATTCATAAAATTTATACATAATTTATAAAAATTTAATTCTACTCACATAATGGAGCTTGAACATTTCTAGGTGTACCTAACATGTAAACGTCGTGTAGAGCTAAAGCCATATGGACACTGTGAACTTGATATCTAAAACAGAATAAGTTATCAATTTGTTATTTTTTGCAACACGAAAAAGAAAAACAATTTTTTTTTAAATAAAACATAGGCTACTAACCTTGGTATTCTTGAAAGAAACTCAATAGCTGGTTCAAACTGTCCAGTTAATGTTAAAACTTGGAAATAAACTAATGGTTTTTCATAGGCATGGTAATGTGTTTCTCCTATAAAAGAAAATAGCCTAATGTCAATTATTGTGACCTTAACTAAAGTAATATTTGTTAACACAATCATTGCCATGCGGAAAATTTGAATTTCAGTGAGATGGGCAAATATTTTTTCTGTTATATTTATATATATTATATACTTTCATATTAAGATGTTATATACCATTCACGCGAACGGCCATCTATATCGGCTATATCACGTGATTGGAAATGAACATGTTAATGAACAAATCCACAAGTTTTGACATATCTCCATAGAAAAATTAACTTTAATGACATACCATATTCTTCTAAAATGAGCTTTTGTAAGTCTGAATATGTAAATGGCTCAGGTTCATTGTTAGGCCGTGACTTTATAACAGACAGTTTTAACCACAGATAATCGTCAGCTGTTCGTGCGACTTCAGAATGCTCATCGCTCACATCACAGCAACCAACAACACAGTAAACCTGAAAACATTCATAATTATTCTTATATTTTTTTTTTTTTAATTTTAAGTGGTGATCCTTTAATAATATGTAAAAGTAGTTATGTTTTAAAGCCAGGTGATAACTTCTATTTCAATATGCTGATCAAGTTATAATTATGATAGGTGGACTCAACCCAGTGTCTGGACACTTGCTTTTAATACAATATATTTTTTATGTTAGTTAGAAGGTGGCAAGCTAGCTGGCGGTACATCTGATATTAAGTGATAACCACCGCCCATGGACATTTGCGACTCTCTGAGCTCAATGTACTGAATGCTGAAATTGAAACACGCTCAATGGTGAACAAAAGCATTTGAGGAATTTTGGAAATAATGACAAAAAAAATATTCAAAGATATTGACATATGACATAGACACAGACTTGACAGTCCGCCAATCCACATTGTGGTTGAATAGTGTAAAATATACCACCCTAATATCTTCTGAACAGAGGAGGCCTTTTCCCAGCAGTGGGATATTTACTTTAATTTTTACTTATTGATAACTTGTCACCATACACTAGCCATTATGATTAATACATATATGTGATAAATATCAATTTGAAAATTTTAACATACTGCTCTTTTATAAGGATCAGTTGAATTTCGAACTTGTATCCTGTACTGAAAGTTAATTGCAGTCTGCAACTTGTCACTCAATGCCTTTTCAGGATTTCTAATGTGCTCCTCAAGAGCTGATATAAATTCCTCATGATCACGTCTGTAATAGTTAATTGAATACAATCATCCCTACAGAAAAAGAAATTATCATAAAATGCATGTATAAAAGCGCCGTTGCTAAGCTATTGACTTCGGCGTTGAGGGGCGTGGATTCGATTCCCTCACGGAACAAGTATTTATGTGACACACACAGATAATTGTTACAGATCTCGGTGTCGTCAGGCAGGTAGGCGGCCGGCCGGTCGTAACCGCTCGTAAACCGCTTACAACGCGATTCACATGTTGTGCCGACCCCACGTAGGCGGGATAATGTCAGGATGATGATGATGATGAGGATGATGTTTTTGCCGAAAAAGTTGCAATGGAAAGATATTTCCTCAATTATTAAATAACACTCTGTTCTAAATTAGTGCAACTAGGTAGCCTTATTTTGAAAACGATGTGATAATCTTCATTGTGGGCGCTCATTATATCATTAGAATAATTTTGTTTTTGAACTCACCCAGCTTTGCGTAGGCAATATAAAGCAGCATTAGCGTCACCACTTCTGAGGCAGTAATAAATCATAGGCCAAAGAGGTCGATCATCAACAACTCCATCTGAAAGACCCTGACCGCTTTGACCTTGTACACGAAGCCCAACAAAGCCCCGTACCAATGGATAAGTACCTGGTTCTCCTCCCCTCATTGCTGCTGCAGGATTAGCACGCACTACGTCACTCATGTATTGCTTGTATCTGTCATGTACGCAAAAATAAGTTACCATAGCAAAAGTGCAAAAGAAAAAGATATCCAATATGGCGCTACTAAATCGACCATAAATCAACACACATAATTATAGAGAATATCTTTTTAAAATTGTTTTAAATATTTACTTTCTTGAAACATTAATATTTACCGAATTATTAGCTTTTCCAAAAACAAATTATTTTAGGACACCCGTACATACAAAACTGTAAACTTAAAGTAAACTTGTAAAGGTCACAAGATTGCGTATGAATTAGTTGAATGAATTTAAAAGAGATAAAACATACTGTTAGAAGGAGGAACTTATACTACAACTTTGTAGCAATGACTTAAAGTCTCCGAATGTATGAATCAGTCAGTTGTAGTTGTATAGGATGTTTCTTATTATTTAATTAGTTTGTTTGGAAATTATTTTTTTAACATTTATACTTTTAATGATTTTTGGGCAGGTGGAAATTAGAAATGTGTTTGTTTATTGTCGCGGTAACGCCATGCTGTATAAATGTAAATTTAATAGATAAATTGTGGAAATATTTTCGGCACTGCTAGGATACATTCTTAGTACCAGTAGTTAAACCTTAAGTAACGTGCCCGGACACGCTAGCAAATTAAGCCATACAGCTGATATCCTCATGACACTATCTCAACAACAATCTGCTTTCTTACTATGTATTTTTAGCAATACCACCTAGTGTGCAAGTTTACAGTATGCCAACATTCTCCAATAACATTTTTCAATGAAGGCTTTCAGTCCAATATGCCCAAAAATTGCCAAACATGTAAAACAGCTATTTATAGTGTGAAAACACTACAAATATGGATGTAAATTATATTGCAAAATATATTTGAAAATTTTACCTTTTCTCCAAATACTTCTTCCCCTGCGCAATAAGACATTGCTGAATTGTAGGATTTCCTCTAGCTTTAAGGGGATCTTCATCCATTACAAGTGCAGGTATATTGGCCATTGTTTTTATGATTTCCCACATTTCTTTCACTTTCTGAAAATCAAATCAAAAAAGATATACTATAAAGTAATCAAAATATATATAACTCTGAATAAATGAAGCAACCATTATGCAAAACCATAAATTACATTAAAAAAATATTAATGTGATTAAGTAAATGACACAATACAACATGCTTATATTGAATTCCCATATCTTTAAGTGTATGATGTTTTAACATTATTAAGGAGAAAATATGTCTATGGACCATGATATTTGTTTAATTAGTACACAAAAATTCTGCGGAATGGCAAATTTTTACTTTTGATTTTGCTGTACTGACACTCATTAATTTACAATAAAAAAGTTTTATAACTTAACAAACTTAATTTACTACACTGCAATCTATTATTTATAAAGTATTGTTGCAAGCATTGAATATGACCGGTATGAATATTCAACAGTGTCCAATTTCAAGTTCAGGTGATACATAGATTATGAAAACTATTAATTTTTTTTTTTTTGGATCAAAATAGAAATGAAAAAATAAAAGATATTTAACATAAAATACCATGTCATTGAACTCCTCAGCAACTTGTGCAAATTTCTGATGCAATACTGTCCTTGACTTAGTCCCTTGAAATACTAATTTGTTGTATTGATGAACTTGTCTAGCGTATGCAGCCTCTATGTTATCCAACATAGAATGGCCAAATTTTTTTGGAGTATCTGCAATACTTGGAGGCTCAGGGGTTCTTTTAAGGTCTAGCCAATTTTGCGATGGTCCTATCATAGCATTCATGAGTTTTAACTTCTCTTTGTTCCATTCAGAAAGCATATGCTCCCATTTTTGATCTTCAGTTGTTTGTAGTGACTGAAAAATTATAGTTGTACACATTTTAATTATTATTTCTTGGATTACCAGCAGTACATAGAACTTACAGACTTTAGTACATTTGTGAAAAGGACTTCAGTTAATTGTTCTTTAAATTAAAGATAATTTTGGGCTTATAAAAATAAAAACTGCTGACGACTATACAGGCCGGCTTTTCTAAGTGGTTCCATTTTTTTAAATTAAATTATAGACATAAATAATGTTATATAAAAAATGATACATATTTAACATCACTCATAATTAATTAATTACATTCATTTTAACTAATTTCAAAAAGTGCATGTTTTATGGGCAACTTATTTATTTTAAGCGAGATCATTCATAACTAACATGACGCACACAAGTTCGTTTCAAAAGTATACGACGCATTTATGAATGACTACCGCATTCTTAACAAGTTCTGTTTTTAGGAATAGAATGGCATTTATTTTTTTGAAAAAAAGTTTGTTTTTATCTCATTAAACAATTGTACTACCGAGTCTGAACCTCCTGTGTGAATTTGGACACCTTTAGAAAAACCAACCTCTATACCAATAACATTAAAAACTTAAGCATGAATAATTTCTGGTTAACTTGCACATTATACAACTCTTTTGAGTTGCTTAAAACTTTGTGCGTAATTTATTTCTGTAAATTAGAGAGACAAGATATCACAGTAGAATAACAAAAACCATTTGTTATTAATTTTATTATGAATAAGTATCTACTAATGAATTCTGTACAAATAGGAATGATATCCCATCAAAAACAAATGTGAAATGAGAGGCAAGTTCAATGTTATGATATACAGCGTGTCGTTACCATCGCGACAACAAATGAACACACGTCTAACGCTACTTGCTAATAATCATAAAAAAATATTAACGTTAAAAAAAATCCATAATTAAAAAAAAATATTTTTCAAACGAACTAATTAAGTAAAAAAAATTCTTTGTTTTGGAAAATTTAATAACTCTGTAAATATTGATGTTTAAAGAATGTAAATCTATAATTATGTGTGTTCATTTATTGTCGCGTTGGTAACGACACACTGTATATCATAATATTGAACTTGCCTCTCATTTCACATTTGTTAACTCTCGTTAACATGGCACACAAAATGGCTTTCTGTATCATGTTACTCACTTTGGAGTTTTTGTGTTGTAGCAATTTTATTAACAATAGTAACATAATTATAAATAAATATAAAATTTGACTTGTTTTATATTCACATAAATATTTACATTATAACTTTTTTTACAAATTTCAAGACAGACAGGTAGTGAATACTTACATTCTTATTGACTTCATCTATCAGTGACAAAATTGCATTTTCCCTTTCATTTTTCAAGAAACTTTCAACATCTGAATCAGCAATAGGTTGAAGTGGTTCAAATGTACGCTTTGAGCTGAGTGTTTCCAATTTTTGAGATATTTGCTGCAAATCTATACCTTTAGACCCAAATAGAAGATGCCTAAAAATATACAACACACATGATACATAAGCAGTGTCTCAAGTGTGAATAAGATATGATATACAGCGTGTCGTATAACAATCGCGACAATAAATGAAAACACGTCTAACGCTACTTGCCAATAATCATAAAAAAATATAAAACGTTAAAAAAATCCATAAATAAAAAAAAATATTTATCAAACTAATTAAAAAAAAAAAAAATTTGTTACACCTATACAACAACTTACTGATTCATACATTCAGAGACTTTTTCATTTGTTGCCAAAACGTCACATTACAACCCACTTCTTATAACAGTATGTTTTGTCTCTTAAATTCATTCAACCCATTCATATCCTTTGTGACCTTTACAAATGAACTTTACGTTACAGTTTTATACGTTAGGGTGTTCTAAAAATGTTTGTTTTGTAAAATTTAATAACTCGGTAAAAATTTATGTATAAAGAATGTTAATGCTTAATACAATTTTTGAAAGTTATCCCCTATATGTGTGTTCTTTTATTATCGCGGTTGTAACAACACGCTGTATACCTTTACATATTTTTGAAACACATATGAATTATTAGTGGCACCATTCCTAAGCTATTGACTTCGGAGTCAGCTTTGTGGGTTTGATTCTCAAATGGGACAAGTATTTGTGTGACCCACAGATGTGGGTGTTTGTATCCCAAGGAGGGTTGACATCAGGCATGCGGCCAGTCGTAAAAAATGTATAGTTGCGGACATGTATAGTTACCAAAATATATAAAAAATCTATCCTAACCTATGCAATTTACTATGATGGTATTCATCAATCAGGCGGTGGGGGGCGGGGGCTTTTCCTACATTCGGCCAGGTCGACTATTCCTATTTATGGGTGGACATAAAAAAATAACCACCCAGAAACATAACACGCGTTAAAATTATAACAAAAATCGTGCTGCCGTATACGAAAGCAAAGCCTAATTTTCTTATAATGGATTTGCGAGGAGGTAGAGTTATGGTGTACCTGAAAGTTAAAGGAAAACTAAGTTGTAATCAAAAAATACTTACGCTTGGATGTCGTTAGCTCCAGATTGAATAACTCTAGAATACAGCTCATGAGATGCCTCCAGTACTTGACCTAAAGATCGTTCTACTCTCGGCAGCTCCTCATTTCCTTCTATTTCTGTTGTTAGCTGTTCAGCTTGTTGTAATAGCTTACTAAAGTCGTCGTCCGCCATCACGCAATATAGGTTATGAAGAATTAAAATCACTTATTGTCGCGCTATCATTACCAACAGATAGGATATGATAAAAAATTATTTATTTGTTATTGCGGTGTATTAATGTTAGCATTAATTGATTTAATTGCCCTAAAATGTAGGTCTTGAATATTTCAAAACGCGCGTAAAGTCAGCGTAACGAACACTGTGGTGACAGTTGACATTGACATTGATTGACAGGTTAGGCATGACAAAGTTTCGATGTATGAAAATATCGATATTTTTCTATACAATTATCGATATATATCATCGATATCTTTATCGCGATATATTTATATTCTTAATTTTTGTATATAGTGCTAATCTCTGCACTTAAGATTAAACATTAAAATTTGTAGAAAAAGTAAAAGATTGTCGCCACTGTGGGAATCGAACCCACGTCGTTGGCATTCGCGGCCTGACGCTTTAACCACTAAGTTAAACGGCTGAATGCCACACTGACGAAAATCTTAACGTATTTTATCTACATTGTTTTTTTGCATTTGAAGCAATGCTGGGCGCATCCATTGTTATATCCTTTCCAGCATACAAACAATTTGGAAAAAGTACGAAAGGATTGTTGACTCTGTGGGAATCGAACCCATGTCTTCAGCATTCGCGGCCTGACGCTTTAGCCACTAAGCTACACGGCTAATTCTTATATTCTTTTATCAATGGGTATTTCGGAGTTATTTGCTGCGTATTATTACTTTAGTGGAAGTAGAATTTAGTCATCGACATATCACGGATATATTTGCACTACGGTTACCGCCTTTTTTTGAAGAATATAAATAGTATTATTATATAGTACTTTTCGTATATTTAGGGAAAGATATAATACACATTTATTTCTATTTTTGTCATATAATATTTATTTTATTATTTTATTTTCCATGCGTATTTTTAGTAAGTTTTTACTTTGGCCAGCAAAGTTCTATTATTTTTTAAATAAACATTGAATATATATTTCAGCACACATTTTTACATGTTTTCTAGTCCCAAACTAAGCAACTGTTACAATAACTGATAGTTATCTAGTACATAAAACAAGCGTACAACATACTTTTGTAGATTAATACATCATATTTTAAATGTATGTATAAACTACTAAAAATTGGAAAAACACTGTACATCACACAATATTTTTCAAGTAGTGGGGATCGAACCCTCTGGTGCAACAGGCAGCGTCTACCCATCCAATTGATCTCAAATAGATCAATTGTGTTTTCAAAAAAAAATAATCGTAGGAATTCGTATTGAAATGGTGGCAGCCCTAGTACGAATTATCAAGTGGTCCCGGCAATATTTCAATTTGATTTCAATGTATTATGTACTTTAGAAATGATACTTGCGGGGGTAGATAAGTTTTGCAATTACTGGATGGTATTTTAAATACGGCAAAACCGAACAGGGACGCTTCAGTAGATAAGAAAATGCGGGATTATTGTTACAAAGAAATTGATGTAATTTTTTTAGAAATGATTATATGTTTTAGGTTACTTATTCCATAGACATAAAAATCCAGAATCACCCCTATAATAAAAGCCATTAAGGGTGCTAGAATTCCTATTACCAACATTGATAACAAATTTTATTATTGAGTGACAAATTGAAATTAACACAAAATTTCAATTTAATTACGTGGCTGTATAAACTTTCTCAATGTTAAAGAAGCAGGGGAATAATAACTATTACAGCTACTTGATTTAATTTAAATTCATCAAGTGTTGATGTATGCCATAAATAGATGAGAAAATATAAGTTATTTTTTTAACATGAAGTCGAAGTAAAATGTATGCAAAGGGAAAGCACCGACTAACGGGGGCTGAAAGACAATCTCGCTTTACTCTGATTAAAGGCTACAACCGGCGCTGAGGAAGACCCCAATAAGCTGCTCATGACGCGATGGAGTAAATGTGAAAATGCTGAGACTATCTATAGAACTGTTGCCACATCTGAACGGAAATTGACTTTTCTAAAACATGGCTTCTACTCTCAAGACTCGCACTCTATCTATCACGAGGTGTTCTATGATTGTAGCCATTACAGATGATGCCAATTAAATCTGTACTGTGGTAGGGCCACGCAGCAGCCTCGCCTGTTGCACGAATGGGCAGGCTCGTCCGGGTAAGTAACACCACCTCAAAGAAGACTGGCGTGAAGTGGAAGCATAATTCTTTCGCGAGTGAGGTAACTGGAGCCCAATTTTCAAAAGGTTGCAACCCTCGGGTGCAACAGATGTCGATGGGCGGCGGTATTCACTTAACATCAGGTGAACCGTCTGCTAACTTGGTAACTTTTCATATAAAAAAAAATCTACCAATAATCTTCAAAAGCATTCTATAAATCCAGGACCTTCTGTTTGGACTTTCCCAATACTTTGTTCAGTACACAAATCTATAAGAAAATAGAAATTATTTCGCGTACTTGTGTTACAATTCCATTTTATTATTTGTTTGTTAGAGGTAGTATAGATTATTAACAAACATTATGATGCGATATTATAGGATATATTATTGATACCCCTTAATCTATTTCTTATTATGTGTACAAACAGTGTTTTTCTTTACAAGGGGAAGGTATTTTTTTTATTCAAATAAAAACTTATGTATTAAACGGTAACCCAAATTTTAATCAGTACAATCGAAGTCATCAGTGTTTTACAGTTCATAAGTATCTTAAGAAATATCTTTTTTTATTTTTTGCGTGAATTCTATCATAGCTTTGATTTGCGATAAAAAAGAGTAGTTAGCTTTAAAACATTATTTAAGCAATCGAATCATTTAGTTATTAAACCCTGATGTCATTACTTGCATAGAATATGACAGCATTAAAAAAAATCATTTGAATTTTTTAGATCCAAATATTAAATCAACATCGGGGGCGCCTTTTGGATGTTGATATTTCTGTCGCACATGCTGGCCCCTATTTGGATTTCCAATTCCGCCAGATCCTCCTCCACTCTCCGCAGTGTATTCTTCTTCTTCTTGTCTTTCAGATATGTACAGGGTTAAACTGAAAATAGCAAAAGTAATTAGCTTTAAATATAAAATAATATCTAATATCCTATTTATTATGAACCGACTTACTCCAGATATAAGAATTAATAATGTTGAGATTTATTGCATAAAATCATCCTATGAATATAGAATTATTATTATATTGGGGCTATTTATTTGCTTTCTCTAATATATTATTAAATCAAAAATATGTAAATTAAAGAACAACCATTTAAATATGTAATTGCAGTGCACAATAATTACATTCGCTACAAAACATCTATAATACGACGATGAAAACATTCATAATGTTGTTCTGTTGGTCTCTTTTCATTTATTAAAATTTTCATTTTGAATTAATCAACACGTCGTTCGTTTTGAGATTCAAAATGAAAATTTTACTCATTATTTTTGTTACATACTTTGATATAATGTTAATTGAGCATTCCATAATTCAAAAAAAATATTACTTTTTTTTTCTTACAAGAAATAACCAGAAAAATATCAATTCAAACATTGTCTGTTTATACCGTTAAGAGTGGTCACCCTATTGATAAACGGTTAAGTAATTATGCGTTCAGCGAAAAGTTTTAGTGCTCGTGAATAGGTTATTGTATTCAGACGGTAAGGCAGGAATTTCTAAGGGATGTCCATAATGTTTGAAAAAATTAAAAATAATTTTTGAAAAACTAAAAAAATGAGGTCACAAGATCGTACCAGATTCAGATTTAGAATCAAATTCTGAATATGCTCTGTTAATATGTCATGTGGTGGTCATATAATTAGAAACACTTCTTATGAATAAAGAAAGCATAGTATAGAATAGTTCAACGTACAATTAATGTTCGTAAAAAACATACACATTCAATTAATAATAATCATACAATAATATAGCCACTCAAATAAAAAACTGATTAAATGCATAAAATATAAAACATATTTTACTTTTAATTATAAAATGTTTAATTTACATATAGATCATTAGTGGGCGTACAGAAGAACGGGTGAGCATTTAAATTGTTCTGTTAAAAAAGTTTTTAATGCAATTGATCATTATAAAACACATGGAACTGTTGAAAATGTTCATAGAAAGGCTCGGCCAAGAAAAACCTGTCCCAGAGAAGATACGGTAATCGTTCGTATTGCTAAAAAAGACCTAAGTAAACCAGACCAGGCTCCGACCAGATTAAAAATGAAGTTTTTTTCTGCTGATGACACGAGAATCATCTCGTCAAGACTGATACGCCGAAGATTAGTGGAACCTAAATTGTTTGGTAGAATCTCTCGAAAGGTACCGCTTCTTACCAAGCAACACCGAGAGGAACGATTATTATTCGCTAAAAATATGTTAAACGGTACGACAATGGAAAAATTTGTTATTTTCAGATGAGACAAAAATAAATATGGTAAATTCCGATGGAAAGCGCTAAGTTAGACGTCTTGTAAACAATGATTTTTTAATTATAAATACACAAGGAGTAATGTCAAGCACGGTGGCGGTAACATTAAAGTTTGGGGCTGTTTTTCCGGATGTGGAGTTGGACCCGTTCGGAAGATTGAAGGTACAATGGATCAATGGCAAAACAAAAACATCTTAGAGCACACAACGATTCCCTACTCGGACGATCATTTGCCTGTAACCTGGATCTTTCAGCATGACAATGACCCTAAATACACGGCCAATAGTGTTAAAGGTTTCCTAAACGAAAAGCGTATTTCGTTTTTGACTGGCCAGCAAATAGTCCGGATTTAAACCCGATAGAACATCTCTAAAATATTGTTAAAAAGAAAGTCTCAAACAAACGTAACAGCAGTGAAAACGAAGTATATGAAGCATTTGTTAATGAATGAAGTATGGAATTCAATTCCCCAAGAACAATGTTTAAAATTTGATTTAATCAATGCCACGACATTGCAGTGCTGTTATTGAAAATGAGAGATACGCCACTAAATATGAATTATAATTATTGGTAGGCTAAGGTTAGTAGCTATTTCGTAAATAACAATACTAAATACTAATACTTAAAAAAATATTAGTTTTTATACTTTTTTGTTGTTGTTTCTAATTAGTTGACCATTACTATTCACACCTTAAAACTGATTTAAATGTTTGTCCGTAATGTACAATTGAAACTTCACTTGTGTAATGGGATTTATATTGTTTTCTAATAAATGATAAATCGTTGAACATATTGTTGTCCTATTTATTGTGTAATTTCAAAATAAAAACGATTGCGGTGAAGTATCTTCTATAATGTCAAAGACCGTTGGTAGTGTTTCTAATAGTACGACCACCACTGTATATGCATGGTGTTCGCGGCCTTAAATGAACACACTTCTATTGCTATATATAATATATAATTGCTAGATATTCCAATAATCATAAAAAAAATAAACGTTGAAAAAATAATAATTGAAGAAATTAATTAAAAAAATCTAATAAAATAAAAAGGAAACAAAATTTGTAACAACCTATATAACTACAACTGACTGATTCATACATTCAGTGACTTTTTCATTTGTTGCCACAATGTTGAATTACAAGTCGATTTGGTTTAAAGAAAGTAAATAATTTTAAAAAGTATAATTTAATACAATATTATAAACTTATCCTCTATGCGTGTGTTGATGTATGGTCGCGGTACGTTGTATATATATACAGCGTGTCGTTACCATCGCGACAATAAATGAACACACGTCTAACGCTACTTGCCAATAATCATAAAAAAATATTAACGTTAAACAAAATCCATAATTTAAAAAAAATATTGTTCAAAAAAACTAATTAAGTAAAAAAGAAACAAAATTTGTAACATCCTATTTTTTATAGGTCTCTTTTAAATTCATTCAACCCATTCATATGGCTGTGACCTTTACAAATGAACTTTACGTTATGCTTTTATAGTTGTTCTAAAATTCTTTGTTTTGGAAAATTTAATAACTCTGTAAATATGGATGTTTAAAGAATTTAAATGTTCAATACAACTTTAAAAAGTTATCCCCTATATGTGTGTTCATTTATTGTCGCGATGGTAACGACACGCTGTATACATAAGTTATTTAAATAATAGTAGAAGTAGTTATTAATTAATATTCCTTAAATTACAATGAAGTCGTACTCTTACCGTTTCATCCTCTCCATCTCTTGTTTGTCAGCTAGTGCTTGTTGCTGCAAATTACTAGCGAGTTCTGGGGGTGCGTTGAATGACTTGTACTGTGGCTTGGTTCCTTTTCTAACCATTAAAACGAACTCCACACCTTCTTTGCCTTGCTTCATGAAGTAATAAATAAAAATTAAGTATTACATAACAGGAATTCACGAAGACAAAATTCATTCAGATAAGGAATAATAATTTTATCGTTTTTGCTCTTGAACGTCATGGGAATATTTGGAAGGTAATTAAAATCTTAAATTCTAGAATGTAATAACGGGTTTACATCTATATGCAATTACTTTTTTTATATTTTAAAATTTTCTTTTATTATTCATTACGGATGCTTTGCCCAATTATTTTAAAAAAGTTGTTTCGGAGCCCCATGGGCCCCGTGTGCCCAATATTGGTAAAGACGGAACTGGCCATATGTGCGTAATATAGTCCGAAAATACTAATTAAGTAGCTAAACAAAAATCAGATCTGAAGAACCCAATATAATATTATCTAAATAACTTAAAACTTGAATTTTTACAATTAAAAACAAAATACGATGCTATTAACTTCTCTGTTTACCACCTCTCTTAAAAATGACGGACCACATAAAAATATTAATTTATCTAGTTATATATAGTTATATTAGTGTTCATGACGAGATTTCGCATTTTTCATAATAGGTCTTTACCTATGAAATTGCCCTATTCATTACTGGCCATTTCAAACAAAAAAAAAGGTTTAAATTGGATTTTATTAATTAATTAATAAAATAAAAAAATATTAATTTAAATTTGGAATTCACCCAAATTTAAATTAATTTTTGTAATGTTTGTTTGTCTGGTTGTTTTGTTTGGGAAATCATGTATTTTGTAAATGATCGTGATACGAACCGCGGGTTTTTAGGGCCGCCCGATTACCGACTGAGCTATTATAACATTTTTTTGCGGCGAAATTTACCGTCATATTCGAATGATATTTTTCATTCCCTGAAAACAGGGTTAAAAAGACATTTTCTAAAAATGAAACCTAGCTAGATAGATTTTTCGCCCCCGAATCTACGCACATACTAAATTTCATGAAAATCGCTGGAGCCGTTTCCGAGATTCCGATTATATATATATAAAAGAATTGCTCATATTTAAAGGATAAGATATTCTATTACAAAAACACTTAACTATACAATGCAATGTGTCTCTGTTGCGGCCGATTTTCGGTATTTTAGTTTAATATCTTTTTTTTCACAAATAAAAAGTACTGACTGGCATGTAGGGTAAATTTTTTAGTTATTTTCTATTATGACGTTAAAAAAATATAACATCTTAGGAAGACAAATAATTTTTTTACAAAAACATACCAAAAGCTGTTCATAAGTTTTCTTTGTGGTCTGCCGACACGTCATTGGTACGGCAATGTCTCTCTGTTGCGGCCGATTTTCACGTTGCCTGTCCGCTATATTTTCCATCACCATTTTTTCGAATGCACTTTCGAATTCTACGTCCTCAACCTAAAACAAAGCTCTCTTAAACCATTACGATTAAAACTACTAAAAAAATTTAGACCAATCGACTTACGGGTTTTATCGCTGGACGTCTCTGTTCTAAAACCATTTCATCATTTTCGTTTACGTCGTTAACTGCATTATCAGTAATCGGATCTTCGTCAGAACTCTCCTCGGGTAACTGAGGATTATCCGTTTCATCATCTGTCTCCATAATAGTATCCAATCCTTCGTTTACACTGTCGTCACCTTGATCATCATTGTTATTCTGTTCTTCTTCACCTAGCTCTGGATAAAGAGTTTGTCTTAGTTCTTCAATAGCGTCCTTGCATTGTTGCCAGCTTGTAAATAAATTAAGCTTTGGTCTTAGGCTCGTCAAACATTCCTGATATATATATTTAACATAAATCGGAAATTTATTCTCCTCAGTCCAGTATGGATCAGAAAATTTGAACCAGTAGTAATTTTGGAAAAACATTAAAAAATAATCCAACCTCTTCTTACTAGATCCACTGTTAAAATATGCACCACACGTCTCAAGTAAAGCACAAACGAGCCTTATCCTAAAAACATTATCTGGAGGATCTAATGGAGATATGTTACTATGGTCATTTGTTACACCAAAAGTGATAAAAGAATATAAAGTATTGAACACGTCACGAGAGTCTAATAACTTGTAATTATATAACTCTCCAAGATATCTCACTGTAGCTATCCTTCTTTGATTGTACCGTGGGTGTGGGTCCTCCATTGTGAGACGAATCTCTTCAAGAATAGTGTCAACTACAGCTGGAGCAACAGCTTCTTGCCAGGTAGCTAATTCTGCTGTCAATCGAGCTAGGGCGCGTCTAGCACTAGCTCTTACTCTCCATCCCCCAGCCAAATGTTGAATTGCAATAGCTGATATTTCAGGATCATCCCAATTTAGTTTTCTCATTAGTCTCAAAATTTTTTCTTCGTTACTCTTTTGTAAATCTTCATGCAAAATCTTTCTAATAAACTGATGCATTGGTGGTTCTTCTTCCTTTGGTTGCGCTGGAGCTTCAGGGGGACAAACATAGTAAAATGCGTTTTCTATTTGTGTCACATATCGAGAATCTAAAGCTGAAACAGTCTAAAATAATAAACATATACTAATTAAATGTTTGCATTTTATAGTGTGGACTCAAACTGTCTCATTCAATTCATTACCTTTTTCCTCATCATTTGCTGTAAATATATCATTGTCCTTTGATGAGTGTCTGGATTACAATACAGGTATCTCCCACAAGTCTCCAAAAGATTGCAAGCCATTTCAATATGATGATGTTTAAAATCATGCAAAAGAACTTTTAAACAGTAAAGAGCTTCCATTTTTGAATAGAGGCCAAATTTAACTAATTCACCAATAAACCTAACCACTTTTATCTAAAAAAATAATAATAATGTTATTAATAGCCAAAACTATCTCTACATGGCATGCATATATTGAACTCTACTATGAATATTTCATTAAGTTTCTGTTTCCATTTTAATGATAAATCATATTTTAAATTATTTCATATATTTCTCTTGATTTTTTTTTTATGTTAAGTTATAACCACCACCCATGGCAATTTGTAAGATTTAGCCAGACTACCTCATTGTGCAGACGAAAAAGTGTAACTCTACTTCACGCCGGTCTTCTGTGAGGTCGTGGCCCTACCACAGTAAAGTTCTCTTGAATTTACTACATTTATTCGTATTAATTCGTTGATAATGTAACAATATTAATAGATTTCTATATATTAATCATTCAAGAAACACGTTTAGTAGGTTTTATCGCGCCTAATTTTGGAATTTAATTTACTGATTAAAATCTTGTACTGGTTGACTTATCAATATATTGCACAGATATTATATACTATTACTATAGTATACTATGTAATAGGGTTACAATACCTTTGATTCAATATTAATTTGATCCTTTTTCCTGACATGATATTTAAAATCTTGTTTCAACATTTGGCACAAATCAACACAAACATCTGGTAATACTGGATATAATATTGCAGCAAATCTTGAGTAGAATGGTAACAAATCTAGTCTTGTTCTAGCAACACTAAATAGGACTCTTGTCAACTTTTTCCGATTATTCTTTGTATTGAGATTCAATACAAAATCTACAGCAGCATTATCAATCAATTCTCTATTAATACAATTTGGCAGTTCAGTAAAGAAAGAATCGAGAGCATATCTGAAATAAGAAGCATATTTAAAATTAACTTTACTTGCTCATACAATTAATAAGTTAGTGTAGTATTTTATGAGAAATACACACTTGTTTGAAACATTAGCAGGTTGAGATTCTTCCTGTTCAACATCTGGTACTGATGGCTGTTCTTCACTGTCGCTTAGCTCATCCTCTTTTAAGTCTTCATCCAGCATCTCTTCAGTCACCGTCTCTGCTTTACTTTTAATAGCCTGTAAGTAAAGTAAAGAAAAGTAATAACTTAATCAAGTCCCACTGCTAGGCAAAGGCCTCCTCTGTACAGAGGGTATTAGGGTAAGTCCACCGCGCGACTTTAATCGATGACGTATGCAATCCCCGGCGTCAATAATGTAACGAACATACAATGCACAAAGAAACTAGGACCTAGGATATCGTTAGTGGTAACTTAGTATTTGGACCTAGTGTTTTGTGTTGGACCTAGTGCTAGGTAAATAAAGTCTTCAAAAGAGTCAGCAGGTCTTTTTCTCCTAATCCTTCGAACCCTAACACATAACCACTGATGTCAGAAATGGGATTTGGAGATGCCATTGACTCCGAGGGAGGATTTCAAGAAGGGCGTCAGGACAAGGGCACAACTAGCTGCGGAGGCCACACCGCCTACTGTGGGTCAAGCCCCGCCCACGAGACTCCGCCCACTCAGAATCAAGCCCCACCCACTTTGGCTCAAAACTTTGAAACTACGGGAGTTACGTTGTCCAGTGGAACTACCGGAGTGGCGCAAGGATCAAAAGCGAAAGTGCCAACATACGACAGCACTACTTCTTGGAACGCTTATCATGCAGACTGTTGCTACTGCCAACGGATGGAGGGAGGAACAATGCCTGACCGCTCTCACTGTTGCGTTCAGAGGGCAAGCTTTGTCGATCCTGGAAGCACTGCCACATACAGGAAACGATTTCCAAGACCTGATGGAGGCACTTGAATCCAGATATGGGGGGCGACACCCGGAGCACGTGTTCCGTGCCCAACTGCGTGACAGAGTCCAACGCGCAGGAGGACAACAACAATGAGAAAGCGTTGGAAATTGAAAAACTCGTCAGGAAGGCACACCCAGGAGCCGACACCAAGATGGTAGACACGAATATTGTTCAAGCATTTATCGACGGAATCAAAGACCTTGAGGTCAGAGCTGCAGTGAGGCTACGTCACCATACCTCGCTAAAGGAAGGATTTGCACATGCTTTGTAGGTCGAGGCTGTTCGCCAGGACATACGGCAGACCCATAAGATCCGCGAGGTCTCTGGGGGGGTCAAAGAGCTTAATGCTACGAAGAAAAGTTCTGGAGCCATGTACTACAAGTGCGGGGAGAGGAGCCATCTTCAGCTCAACTGCCCGCAGAAGAAGACTGCCTCTGGTCAGCCAATACCCGTCCTTTGAGAAACTTCAGTTACGATGTATATAGGGGGTCCTCATACTGTCATAACGTTATCGTGGCTGAGATTATGGATGATTGCATCTTGGGTTTGAATTTCATGAAGAAACACAACTGCAGAATTAATGTCGCTGACGGAGTTTTCAAGTGTAGTGGAAGAAGAAATCTTCATTCTTAGAGGCGCCTGCGGGAATTGCATGTGTAAAGAAATCCATTATACCTGGACAAGCGGAAGCTCCGGTGCTGGTGAAACTGCCACCAGCTGGAAAGAAAATGTCAAACAGATGCGTGTTGATCGAAGACACGCCTATCAAGACATCGGCCCAAAAACTGATGACGGCGAGAATCCTTGTTAGTGGAAGCAGTAACGCTGTGGTCAAGGTCTTGAATCTTGGTGATCGCGAGGTCTGCTTGAGCAAAGGTGACGTCATCGGAAAGTGCGAGGAAGTTGTCTGGATAAAAAAGTGTAGTTCGATGACAGGCGCAAACTCAGCAAACAGCAACAACTACGGATTAGTGACTGAGCTACTCGATGACTGCAAGAGTAATCTGACTTATTCGCAGAGCATGAAAGCTAGGAAGTTTTTACAGCGCTACGCGAATATCTTCTCCAGTCAAGAAGGGGACCTTGGAAGAACGTCGATGGTTCAGCACAGGATAGATACCGGAAGAGACGAATTCGTCAACGAGCAAGACGGATACCAATTGTAAAGGAAAAAGAAGTTGAAGGTCTTTTGGAGGTCTACAGGTCCGTGGTGCTTACTTGTTGTGTTAGTGAAGTAGAAAGGTGGTAGCACGAGATTTTGTGTGGACTATAGGCGTCTCAATGATGTCACTAAGAAGGACAGTTACCCGTTACCTCGAATCGACGACACTTTGGATGCCTTGAGTGGCATGAAATGGTTCTCGACCCTAGACATGAAATCTGGATAGTGGCAGGTGGAAGTTAATCCAAAAGACAAAAATTGTGAGTCTGAAACGTAAGGGGCACCGCAACAACTTGTTACACCGTCTAGTGCGTACTGACTGGGGGGCTACGCCGCATGTGATGCGCACTTCTAGCCTGGCGCTAGCGTTCTCTGCCGGCGAGTTCGCGTGCTCCGTATGGGGCCGCTCTGTTCTTACCAAGCTCGTGGATACAGCTTTAAATGAAACCTGCCGAATTATAACCGGATGTTTGAAGCCAACCCTGGTGAAATTGCTGTATCCACTAGCTGGAATAGCACCGCCGGCAGTGCGCAGAGCCGTTGCGAGCTCGCGAGAAAGGGCTAAGGGTGAAGAAGACATGCGGCACCCCTTACACGGGCACGAGCCTCCGCCGCAAAGAGTGAAAAGCCGAAAAAGTTTTTTAAAATACGTCGACCCCCTCACAACCGAGCCCTCTCAAGCGAAATGAAGATTGTTGCGTGCTGGAACGCTGATTCCGGACCCCATTATCCATGTCCATGTCATCGCAATGGGACAGTCTGATACTTCAAAACGGAATATTGTACCGAAAATGGGAGAAGACTAACGGCAGGGAGTTCAATCTTCAGATAATTGTCCCAAGAACGAGAGTACCAGATGTTCTCCGTGAAATACATGATTGCGTATCAGGGTTGCGTATCATCTAGGTGTCAAGAGGACGTTAACAAAAGTGCGAGAACGATTTTACTGGTTGAATTGTCGTGATGATGTACAGGATCGGTGCCGTAAATGTACTACTTGCGCTGCTATAAAAAGCCCACAGACCAGGAGTCGTGGGAACCTGCAGTTGTATAAAGTAGGTGCACCGTGGGAACGAATTGCAGTCGACAGTAGCTGGGCCATTTCCTGTAACGGAATCGGGAAACAAGTATTTCATGGCCGTCGTAGACAACTTAACCAAATGGCCCGAAGTGTTTGCCATACCAAACCAAGAAGCTACAACAGTCGCTTCTTAGTTAGTCGAAGAAGTACAATGTAGCTTCGGTGTGCCTCTAGGAATCCATTCTGATCATGGCAGGATCTTCGAATCACAAGTATTCCAGGAAGTGTGCAGAATTTTTAGCATGTATAAGACGAGGACCACCACGTAACATCCACAGTCTGAAGGAATGGTCGAGAGATTTAACGAGACCCTTGAGAGGCATTTGGCGACATTGGTAGACGACAAACAAAAGGATTGGGACAAGTATATACCACTCTTCCTTCTGTCGTATCGAACCGCCGAGCATGAGAGCATAAAAGCTACCCCGGCGTATGTAAATTACGCTAGACAACAGCGAATACCAGCAGACCTGTTGACAGGGGTCACCGGAGGCACCTGAGACCGTACAAGACTATATCCTCGATTTAAGTGAAAAAATGCGCTATATACACGCCTTGGTTCGGGAAAAGGGGTTACAGTCAAGTGAGAACATGAAGACCTGATACGACCGGAAATCGAACACGAGCGGCTTCACGGAAGGGTCACTGGTGTGGGTGTAACGCAACTCTGCGGAAAGGGAAATCTCGCGGTTACCCGACTTAATGATGTGACTTATAGGATTCAAAAGCAACCAAGAGGGACATTCAAAGTAGTACGCATAGACCGTCTGGCGCGTTACCATGGCAGTAACAACGATGCTAGGAACGAGTATCTCCAAGAGGGGAGAAGTGTTACGAACACACAAAGCAACTAGCGCTATCTAGCGTCAAAATTCAAATCATTTATTCATCGAAATAAGAAATAATAAGAAAAAAGATAAATTTATTGAGTAGACAACATGAAACCCCATGTTGTCTACTCTAAACTCAAAGAGGAACTACTATGGAACTATATAGAAGTATAGCAAAACCGGGTACATGCGCGAACTTTCCGGAATCATCCAACCCGGTCGATCACGTTCGCGCGAGTCGGGTACGTTCCAGAAAGGAACTTTCTGGAATGATCTGGGACGACTCCCGGCCCATATAAATAGCCGCAGGCGAGGCGAGCCAGGCAGTTCAATTTGAGCTACCTTCAGGGCGACTTCGGAGTGAAAACTAGTGATCAAGAGCGATACCAGTGAAACCTTCAACTTGGCTAAGACCTAAGACATCGTTAGTGCTTAGTATTTGGACCTAGTGCTTTGTGTTGGACCTAGTGCTAGTGAATAAAGTCTTCAAAAGAGTCAGCAGGTCTTTCTCTCCAAATCCTACGAACTCTAACGCGTAACAATAATATTTCCAAGAAACTTATCCGATTTGACACTAATACACATTTGTTCAGATTTAACCTGAGCCCCATTGTATTTAATTTAGTCAACATTGCCCACGCATTTGTCTTTGATCACGCTCTTCCTTATTTCACTTTAGTTCTTTAAAAATGTGCCTTGATAGTTAAGGATTAATTGTACCGCCAATCCATACATAAGATTTTTAGATCTTAACAACTCGCAGCGCCACTCATCGCGCATACCCTACACTAACCGATCTTTCAGCTGTCTTTTTTGTCTATAAAATTGCATCTAGAAGCCAGGAAGCCAATAGCCGCAAAAATTCCTGAATATTTTCACTGACTTTGTTGACGTTTATGAAATTTATCAGTTATGTACATTTACGTAAGATTTATGAAATTGTTAAAGCATTAACAAAATGTCATTTAAATCCACAAAAACCAATTATTGTACCAGCAACATAATCAATATACTACAACAGTCACCTGCTCTGATTTTTTTTATGTGAGAAGGTGGCAAGTGATCTGGCGATTCACCTGATGGCGATAACCACCGCGTATTTTTCTATAACATTGAATACTGCTCCGGGCTCTTTCAATCGGACTTTAATATATTGTAAACATGTTCTCACGGTGGACTTCTATATGGTTGTGGTACTTAATCAGACAGTCCTGCCCATTCGTGCAAAAGCAAACTGTATGGTCCAGCATGGCGCTACCACAGTTTTGTTTTAAGTAATAAAAATATTCAAATCGAAAAGTGATTAAGGTAAGACTGAATTTAAAAAAAAAGACAAAAAGAAAATGTATGTTAGCAGTTTAAAGTTTATCGACATTTATCAATAAATACCTCTTTGAGCTGATAATTAGGCATAAAAACTTTTAAATCTGGTAGAGTTGTGTAAAATGTTCTAGTATCTTCATCTTGCCATGGATCTGTACCAGCCTGCATTATTATTTCATCACTTCCCCCTATTGTTACTGAGCCCTGTGTTTCAATAACAGTCAATGATAAAGTAGGTGGCTCTCCAGCTTCTCCTAATTCTTCACCAAGCACTTCAGCAAAATTTTGTGCACCCACCAATAATTTGTCATATGTTGCCTGTAAATTTTTATTTTATGATTAATATAACAGACCACAATGGTACCATGTAAATATGCTTATGCTATATATTTGAACAAACAAATCACATTACTCAAACCTCATAAAATTGTAATCCTCCACAGATTATACATACAGCAAAGTAAGAGATATGTAAAATATCTCATACTTTGATGTATGTATGAATACAACCACCTTTATTATTAAAAGTAGCGTGCTTAAGAGTCATAAATAGTTTTTAAATATTGGGAAATCAAAAAAGTTATTTTGATAAAATCCAGCACAATAAAGTGATAAAGTAATTTTAATCCAATAATCCAATATATAGATATAACATTTTTTTTAATTAATTTTAGAACCTGATGTTGTTCCAGCTGATCTTTCCTTTCTTGTGACAATTCACCTCTAGTGTGCAATGTTCTTTGGTTAGCTGCATGTAGTGCTTGCAACTGAGCTCTTTCAGCAAGAAGATGCTTTGTCAAAGATAAGAAATAATCTTTGAGAAGGGTTCTCACAACACTCTGTTTCTCTGCTGGTAGAAATGTGTTCCGTGGAATTGTAATGCCATATTTCTAAATTAAAAAGCAGAATATTATAATTTAAACTTCTGTAAAGTTAGATACATGTATAGGTTATTTAATTAATTAACAATTCCATTTACAAAAAGTATCAACAGATTAGTATGATAGAGATAATCATTTATCTGAGAAAATGAGGGAAATGTAACAATGGATATGGATACAATACTGCTTTTGTATACGATAGCACACATATGGCGGGGCGAGGAGGCGGGGCAAGGTGGGGGGATGTGGTCAACCCCCCTGTAAGAGGTGGGTTGACCACATAGTGGTGTGCAGAAATATATAATTTCTGAAACATATTATAAAAAACTACCCTAACCTATGCAAGGTTACTAAAAGTAAATTAAAGTAACAGCCTATACATATCCCACTGCTGGGCAAAGGCCTCCTCTATACAGAGGGTATCAGGGCATAGCCCACCACGCGGCCCCACTGCGGATTGGCGGATTTCACATATCTTCGAAATACTTTTTTTTATTATTTCGAAAATATGCAGGTTTCCTCACGGTGTTTTAAACAAAGTTTTAAGCACTTAAAGTTAAAAACTTCATTGGTGCCGAACTGGGGATCGAACTCAGGTTGCTCAAGTATATTGAATTAAAGGCGAGCGCCCGGACACAGCTATCACGGCTCTTAATGTTACTATGGTGACATTTATTAGTATGGCTCTATTTCTGGGTGTTTATAAACTCTGAATCGGGTTGTCAACCATAATGATGATATCAAAAAACTTAAACAACTTGAAAGACCATTAAAATATAATTAACTCTGTTATATGACGGTTACGGTATGATGTTGAACGGTGGTAGGGCCACGCAGCAGCCTCGGCTGTTGCACGAATGGGCAGGCCTGTCTGGGTAAATACCACGACCTCGCAGAAGACAAACGTAAAGTGGAAGTATGACAAATACTTTCGCGTTTCGTCTGGTGAGTGAGGTAGCCGGAGCCCAATTGTCAAAAGGTTGTCAACACATCTGTAACCCTCGGGTGTAGCAGATGTCCATTGGCGGCGGTATTCACTTACCATCAGGTGAACCGTCTGCTCGTAGGGCAACTTTTCACATAAAAAAAAAATATTTCCTATTTCAGTCTCTTTTTTTAAAAAGCTTTAAGATTTACCGTAAGCTAACAATGTGTTAAAAGATGATATAATCATTAAGCTTTCTCTTTCTAATGTTTTAGAATGTAATTATGTAAATCTATTGGGCCGAAATACCAAACAATACTGTTCTAAACTATTACTGGTAGTTAACCTATAAAACTTAAGAAATTAATTTCTCACAAACTATGAATTTCCGCAAAAAATCCTTCTGGTACTTACTTCAATGACTTATTACCTACCTATTAAAATTAAAATTATCACGAAAATCGTGCTTACGGTAGCACTAACCAAAGCAAAGCCATGGATTTCTCCAACCATAAATAAAAAAACAGTATCATACCTCCGAAGAATCCTTAATTTTTTTCGGTATAAGGCCTGCATAGTCTTCACCACAATGTTTACAAAAAGATAAAAGTATTGAAATATTGTTGTGTTCTTCTTTATCCATATTAATCAGAACTGTTAAAACATTTCCCAGTAAGGGTAAACCAGTTTTGTTGGTAAATATTCCAACAGCTACTAATTCTGCATAAAATCTTAAATCCACACGCAACTTTGATGAATTAGTAATTTTATCAGTAGTTTTAAATGATAAAATTTTTTGCCAGTTCTCAAAAAAGTTTGGTGAGAAATCTGCATAGGTTTGATGAATTAAAGAACAGAAATTTATAGCTGCAGATATGTCAGACATTTTTAGTTTCGCTTCAGTGATAGCTGCAGCTACTTCTGATATATACTTTGTCAGATTTAATGAACTAAAATCTTTAGTGAGAGCATCAATTTGTGTTGCACTAAAAGATTTCAATTTTTTAACGAATGTTGTATTCTTTTTTAAACCAGAATCTAATTTAGAAAAATGATTATCTGGAGGTCTAACACAATTTAGATTTTGGTTGCGCATTTCAAATTTAGATTTTATTCTGGTTTCCAAGTTACTTATGTATTCGGCTACAGTGAGTTTTTCATTTTCTTCAGACACCTCATTTGCCTCCTCCGAGAGTTCAATATTCTCAACACTTTTTTCTGTAGTAATCATTCTGCTAATAATACAAACAGCGTTCTTATCATTAGATAATTACTGATGCATACTACACAGAAAAATAAAACACCCACATCTATAAATAAACATAACAATTAACAATCAGAGCAAGACAAGGTGGACCCCACAGAGTACTTTATAATATACTGCAAAGAGTACTTTTATATATCTGAAATATATTGATATACTAGTGGACCCGTATGACATGTGTCGAATTGTATAAACGTAGTCACAGAGTACATTATATATACTGATATAGAGACATCAGTCTTCCAAGCTTTGAAGCGCCATCTGACGAAATTTGACAGAACTGTTTAAAATAGAGATGGGTCGTATCGCTTTTTCTGAGTACCGTATCTGAATCCGATTTCGATTTCAAATATCAGATTTCGAAACTATGTATTTTAATATCTAGATATTTTTTTACGGCCCCTTTCCACCTTGAATTCTAAAAAAAAAAATGTTTTCAATAATTATTTAGATTCCTCCGGGTTTAAATTTATTTATTGTGTTTATATGTTTCGAATTTATTTACTCCTAAATAAATTCGAAAACCCACTAAAATTTAATAAATTCAAAAAACTATTTTTTTATACTATTAAGGTAAAATTAAAACATTACCTGATTAAATTAAAAATTTCATAAAAAATACAAATTGAAGTAATATAAAAAAATGATTTATTTTAACATCTTATATATCGCTTAATAATTGACTTAAACATATTTTTAGAACACGCAATCATGAGTGACAATATTTTTATAATTTGTGTAAGAAATAATACATTCAGTATTATAACTTAGGGCAGAAGAATTTAAAATATACACACAAAGCACATAAGCCTTGGTCTGATTTCCACCCAAGCAGCACAGCACTATTAAATTATATTTTTCTTTTTGTGTAGTTTTATTTTTTTCAAAAATATGAATAAAATTTAACTAATAAAAATATTCACAAAAAATTTACCTCCTAAAAAATTTCCATTGTATATTTTTCTTCCTTAATTTAGGCAGAAAATTCTTAAGTAGTAAGTTGGCATCCCTTACTATTACGTGCTAGGTACCAATGCAATCCAGCTCAAGGCTAAACAAAATTTAAAGACATCGTTAATACCATAATTCGTATTTAAATGCAACAAAGTTTTTTTCCATGCTGTTAAGATTCAAAATTACTTAACTGCGCGCTTTGTCGCCCGTTACGGCTCAAGGCTAAACAAAACAATAAAAATATAATAATATCGTTGTAGTAATCGTTGATACCATGATTAGTATTTAATTGAAACGTATCTTATTTGTATGGCGTTAAGATTCAAAATTACTTAATTTATTCATAATATCTGTTTAAAAATCTGATATTGTGCCTTGCTTGCCGTACTGCTCTAACTAGTGTAATATTTGTATCTCACGCGCTTTGTCACTCAAAATCTGATATCGTGCATTGCTTGCCGTCCCGCTCTAACTAGTGAGTATTTATATCTCACGCGCTTTGTCTCTCGAAATCTGTTTAAAAATCTGATATCGTGCATTGCTTGCCGTCCCGCTCTAACTAGTGAGTATTTGTATCTCACGCGCTTTGTCTCTTGAAATCTGTTTAAAAATCAGATATTGTGGCAAACGCGTATGATATCGCGATTCGTGTCGGTATAGCGAGCGAGCACGGTACATCAGATTTCGGAAATATCAGATATTGTAAAATACATAGATATTGAACGAGCCAGTAAGCGATATTCGGATATTGTACTAATATCTAGTTTTCATATCTGATACGATTTGTATCGCCCACTTCTAGTTTAAAATACTATACATACCTGTGATTCACGCCCTTTTTACTTTCTCATTTTATTTTATATTTTCCTATTGTTCAACCGATATTAATGTACAACTTTTTAAATTTAAGTTGACTACTAATATTGCTTGAACAATAATGACATAGTTACAAGGTATTAAATAAAAGAATAACATTGGATCTTTTAACATTTATTCTTCCTATTAAAGTACCTTAAGGCTAAGTTTTTCATTAAATCTTTCGAATTTCTTTCTTTTCTAGCACCGTTCAATGTTTTATTTATGTCTTTACACCAATTGTACAAGAAAAATCTGCACGATAAATCTATAATATAATCGGTTACTGCTGATTTATGTTTAATACATTTAAACAATTTCAAATCAACTGACACTAATATTAAAGTTTTACAATAATTCTTAATATCAGGCATTTCACTTTTATTTTCTAATACATGTATAACAATATCTTGGACTTGTGAAAATATTTTAATAAGTCCTTCAGAAGGATAGGTAAGGCAGTTTTTAAAACTAAAATATTCTCTGATACTGAGATACTCACTAGAGCTTCTTGTACAATATAAATTGGCCTTACATATTGAGCAATTCTTAAATATATTTATCTTGCCTTCTTCAATATATAACCAGTTACATAACACAGTTCAGCAATAATTCTAGGATCTTTTTTCATTACATTATAATCTGTAATATCACAATTGATATCTTCCATATCTATAACTATCTCTCTTTGTACATTTTCCCTGTCATTACTAAAAAGCAAATTATTCATGGAATCAAATACTTTGCAAAAATCTTCCTCACAATTTGACCCCACGGAATAATGACTTATTTTAGTAATTAAGAGGGAAGTAAAGGCTGCTTCAAAGCCTTGGGTACTTGGGGAGACATTTCGGCACCCATGGCTCCGAATGCAGCCAAAAAAGTTTTCCAAGGGGTCCTGGTTAAAATGTCTCATCCATATTGATTTTAGTTTATATTCATTGAACAATTTGCTTTTTAGGTACTCAATATTTTCAAGTGTATGTAACCAGTTATTTATCGATGGCACTCCACCTTCCCTTCCTTCTTTGGTCACAAATTTCATAGTACGTAATATTCTTTTGGATTTAGCCCATACTTCACTGTGCTTTGATTTCGGAGTAACAGGTCCCAGAAGATATTTTCCAGTTTTCTGTTTGGAGCTGTTGAAACTGCCATTCATAGAGTCAAATAAATCATCAAAAAAAATTAAAATGTCAGCTGTGTCCTTGCATTCCACTGGTAGTATCCCCTTTTCTGAAAGTTAAAAACTAAATGTTAACATTAAACTGATAAGAATGTTGAGAAAATTTTAAATTATTATCAAATAATACAAAAATATCGAAAGCTTTTATTTAAATTATATGCAAGAAAATTTAGACCACTTAATTATGTATCTACAACAACAGATGATTTGAAGCACTAATAGTTTTACTAGTTTGAGTATTTCTATTAGGCAATATACTCACTCACCCAGTGAGCATAATAATTTGCTTTTGACCTATGAATAGGTAATGAATATTAACAAAAATATATTTATAACTGTCTTACTTGTAATGAAATTAGATGGTTGAGGTAGATGAAAGTTTAACAGTGAACTAAAGATTTTATCTGCTAAATTTTATCAATAATGTTGTAAAGCAAATAAGTAAGAAATGTGTATTTTCAGTTTGAAATCATCTATACATGATTAAGCCTATATCTATATATGACTAAGCCTATATATACATGATTAAGCCAATATCATAACCAATAATGATTTATGTATAAAACATTTTGGTTATAAAACATCCAAATTGGATTAAATATACCATTTTGTTCAGAACTTTTTCTCTGTCAATTTTCATTTGAAATGCTGGAAATCAGAAAAGAAAAAGTAAGCAACAAAATGATAGGGATATGAAAAATATTGTATTTTATATGCGCTTGCCCAGGTCAAGAAAAATAAGAATATCCCTTTGAGTCCACACTACACTATTCTATTTCTTTGCCACTAAATTCAAAGTTTCCAGTTATATTTCATTGCATTTTTATTATTGTTTACTAATTTTTGTCAAGACTTTAATCCAAGGCAATGTCTAAACTAAAGAAGATACATATGTTTTGATGATTTCTATTCACACTAATTCTAAGAATTTTTCTTCTTGGATTTTTTTTTATATATTATAGGACTTTTAATGAATATTTAGCCTTCCCAATAATATATACTTTAGATGCATTATGTAGCAAAAAGATATACAGTTTTAGTAACAAACTTAAAAGTAAAACAAACGTAGTGATTACATTCTCTTTGTCTAAATTGAATTGATTATTGAATTGTATTGACATGTATAGTATGATGGTGTTGCCATACTAATTCAAAATTATCTTCTCTTTCCTATCTCATTTCCTTTTCAGTTTCAGATATATAAAAGTACTCTTTGGTTTTGATAATTTAAATAACAGAGATTATTCGTCCGTGACTTCGTGTAGGTCACAAAAGAAAAGAAGTAGAAGTGTTTTGTGGGGGACCCGACGACCACAATTAAGCGAAACTATGACTTACTAAAAGCAAGGAAGAATATTAGAGGTGAGCCGTGGGTCGTCCAATTATTGAAAGACCAAACGCACCCGCGCGTCGTTGCGACAAATGAAAAGTTTGCAGAAAACGGTCGACGTTGCAACTGTTGAAGACGGCAAAAAGGACTTATGCAACACGAAATACAATTGCGTTACCGAAGAACTAAGAAACTGCAACTGTTTCCCTAGACGAAAGTGAAACCATTGCAGTTTCTTAGTTCGTTCGTTCATTACATATAAGGAATTTTCTGGTTTTCTTTATCCATTATTGAAGTAAAAGTTGTGTATTCTTTTAAGACATTTCCTTAAATTATCTGTTGTTGATCTAAACCTTAATTTTCACGGCATAAACAGCATTTAGCTTTTTTAAATTTTATTGTCTTTATGATAAAGCCACCAAAAAACACGCCGACATTGGTTTTGGCGTGATTTCCAATGGTGAATTCAGCCGGGATCAATCTAAACAATTCCTCGGGATTCTCACCGTGATATGCGGTAGAAGATGCAAAGTGATCCAACATCTATACGCAGATCAAAGGGATAAAACCGATCGGAAAAACCCGAGCCGCCCTACATATGCGGTTAAGAGAAGCTGGTAATGGGGATTGGGGATACTCCCGCCCATAGATGAGACCAGTACTAAATGTGTGGCCGATTTTGTGCCTGTTTGTTACTATCCCAAAGGATGTAATCCTATATCCTCGTACGATTCTTATTCTTCCCACACTTCCTTTGAACCAATAATTAAAATTGATACATGGTCCTCAATAACGATTTCTCTTTTAATGTTATAACCAAATAAAATCGTCAGAAACCGTTAGAAGTACCCAAGTTATTACACGTTTTATTACATATCATAGGAACCAATGATAAATACCTACTATACTATATTTAATACAAAATATCATTTGATATGAAAGTAATTAGCTCAATTGATATTATAATTCAACTACATCATAATACTACTGCCCAGGACCGGGATAGTTGGCGCACTTTGTGGGAGGCTTACGTTCAGCAGTGGACGGCAATAGGCTGATATTATATTATTACATCATAATTCCGTGAGCCGTGATAGCTGTGTCCGGGCCTTTAATTCAATATACTCGAGCAACCTGAATCCGATCCCCGGTGCCGGCACCAATGAAATTATTAATCTTAAATGCCGAATTATCACGTATCAGGGTTGAAGGAAAACATCGTGAGGAAACCTGCATATTTTCGAAATAATAATAAAAAAAAATATTTCGAAGATATGTCCGCCAATTCGCAGTGGGGCCGCGTGGAGGACTATGCCCAGATACCCTCTGTACAGAGGAGGCCTTTGCCCTGCAGTGGGACATGTATAGGCTGATACTTTACTTCTTTTTACTTTACTTTACATCATAATTAAATAGCAATCATTGATTACCTTACCTATCCATATTACTGTTGCTCTTTTTATTCTTCCTTTGTAGATTACATACTTCAACAAGCATGTAATCAAAGATGTAAACTTTACCTGCTTTTACTATATGCAAATTTATAAGTACTTTTAAAATAAAATACAACATTTGAAAATAAATAAGCCATGCCAAGCCACACCTTAGCATCTTTCCTAAGACTGCTTTTTTCTTTTCATGTATATACTTCTTTGTGGTATGTATTTCGGATTTTTTTGTAGTTAATTAAAATAATAATCGAAAATAATTATATTTTATTTATTTATAGATAAAAAACATATTTTAGATTTTTTTTAATAGAAATTTTATTTATATATTTACAAAATTTTTGGACAAATCTCCACCTTTTTGCTTTTTATTTGCTATTCTGGAACCAAATTGTAATGCCCGTTTCGGAAACGTTACAACATTGGTTAATCCTAAACTTAAAGCAACAAGCCTTAACATTAATTTATCACCTGTACCATAATCCAACAATTTGCAAGGAAAACATCTGAAAATAAAATGTTTTAATATTTTAATATCACGAAAGCTATTTTGGTTTAGTATAAATCCACAATGTATGAGTTCAGATTATAACAGCATAGATGTTAATCATCAAATGATATATACTTTAACCATGGTTTTAATTTTAAAACATAGTCAACAAAATCTTCATCCAGGTATGGCATTCTTGGTTGACGTCCACAATCACTTATAACTCTGTTGTCCCTTGACAGATTTCTAAAAGAAATTCTATTCCAGTCAAATTGTAATTCTTTGGCCAATGCAAGCCAGCCATTTCGTTGAAATGCTTTTCTATGCCTTAGGTACCCTCCAAAGAGTTCATCTGCTCCTGATCCTAGTAATAAAATCTGAAACATTTTAAATACATAATTTTCGACATTTGGTGAAACTGGAGTAATTCTGTTTACTTTTAGTGCCCGCCCTCTATATAAAACTTTAAATGAGGCTTGAATTTTTGCTAATTTAAACTTTTAATTTTTTTAATATACAATATAACAACCTTTATTTAAATATGCTTAATTTTGTATTATTTAATAGACCTTACCCTACAAGAAGTCTCACTATATGCTGCAAACCATAAAGCCGATCCAAGGCTTTCATCTAGTACAGTTTTTCTGGGGAATACTAAGTCTGCAATTATTTTTTTTTGAAATTCTTCTAATGTTTCTTTTTGGACATTAACTTCTTTAAATACCCACTGCCTTTATGAAATGCAAGAACAAAATAATTATGGTTTTAATTTCGAACTTTTAATGAGAATAATCCTAATTTCTTATTTTTTTTTATTAAAAAAGAGGTGAATTGAATTATTTTACCTTGAGGGACAAACTTTTTTTAGTTCTTTGTATGTTGCTTTACCACTTATTCTGTCTGGTACATCAAAAGAAGCTTTATTATTTATATCAAATGCAACATTAATTAGATCTATTGGTTGACTTTTATCAACATATTTATCTGCTAATATAGCCAAAATTGTACAATCTAGTCCACCCGAAAATAAGATTCCAACTGTGCAGTGATTACAACTGCTGATATTGTAATGAATGCAGCCCCTGCATTTATTAGGATGAGTTCCAACACGCACTTTCACACTTTTTTCTAATAACTCTCGAAGATTATGAATGGTTTCTTGTATAATAAAGTTCTTCATTAAATTTTTCATGAATGAAATTTTACAGTCATTTATTTTCATTGCAGTTTCTATGGATTGAACAACACCATCCTATAAATAGGAAATGTATTAAACAGCATCAATATATAAATATATCCAGCGTGTCGTTACCATCGCGACAATAAATGAACACACGTCTAACGCTACTTGTCAATAATCATAAAAAAAAAATTAACGGTATACAAAATCCATAATTAAAAAAAATATTTTTCAAACAAACTAATTAAGTAAAAAAGAAACAAAATTTGAAACTCCTATACAACTCGCGCCACAGCGTCGCATTACAAGCCTCTGCTTCTAACAGTATGTTTTCTCTCTTTTAAATTCATTCAACCCATTCATATGCTTTGCTTTGTGATCTTTACAAATGAACTTTACGTTACAGTTTTATATGTAAGGGTGTTCTTAAATTCTTTGTTTTGGAAAATTTAATAACTCTGTAAATATTGATGTTTAAAGAAAGTAAATGCTTAATACAATTTTTAAAAGATATCCCCTATATGTGTGTTCATTTATTGTCGCGATTGTAAAGATACGCTGTATATGTATATCCATATACAACGTGGCGCTACTAACGTGACCATAAATCAACACACCTTCATAGGATATCTTTTGAAAATTGTATTAAACATTTCGCACTAATAATACTGTTGTAACTCAAAATATGTCAAATTTGAGATATCTTCATATTCAAAAGCAAAATTTAGTCCCCAAACAAATAACGGTCATACTAATGTATACGGTCGGTGTCAGACTAATGTATATTTATTACTTGTTATTATATATATTATTGCACATAGATAACAATTAAAGATTAATATAAGTTATTTAAGAATCATTTTTTTTTTTCAAATTCAACTTTTTAATGTTGAAATTATTATCCATTAGGAACAGGTGTGAGCTTCCACTGTTGCATGAATGGGTATTCTGGTCTGGAGAAGTACTATGGCTCACAGAAGGATGAATTAGAAGACATCTGGTGAGTAAGTAAGGTATACATAACCCACTTGGAAGTTTCAGTCCATTGTATAATAGTCACTACTACTTAACATCATATGAACCAACTATTTTCTCGCCATATTTTGTTTTTATATTTTTGTGTATATATAAATTATGGCTTATACAGTGTGTCATATATGGATCAGTCAGTTGTAGATGTATAGTAGCCAGTGGATTTAGTAAAGGGAGAAAAAATCTTAAAAGACATATTCATAATCAGTTTTCCCATAGGACAGACATTCCCACTAGAGAATAACCATTTTCATCGGTGGTATGGCCACACAGCAGCCTCGGCTTTTGCACAAAAGGGCAGGCTCGTCCAGGTAAGTACCACAACCTCATAGAAGACTGGCATGAAGTGGAAGCATAATACTTTCGCGTTTTGTCTGGTGAGTGAGGAGGCCGGAGCCCAATTTTTAGAAGGTTGTCAATACATCTGGAACCCTTTTTTGTAACAGATGTCCATAGGTGGCGGGATTCACTAAACATCAGGTGAACAGTGTAAGAATAACCAACTTCTAGGTAATCCTGACAAAACTGAATTTTTTGGTAAATCCTCCATATAATAGTATTTATTAATTCTCATATTTTATATTTAGCAACTATGGTTAACTGATGTTATATTAATACTAAATCTAGGTTTAATTAAAATGTTAGCATAAGTTACCTCAGTGGAAAGATCAATACTTGTATCAAATTCAAATGAAAACTGATCATCAGGTAGATTTTGCTGCTGGTCATTTTCTTCTAGCCAATTCTCCAAAACATATTGTTTTCTAATTGTATCATTAGTCCAGGAATGAAGGGTAATTAGACAGGTTTTTAAATTTATTTTATATATATATGTAGCAGGTATTTCAATACAATTATATTCCCTTCCTGAAATTATTAAGAAATTATGGTTTGTTTAACCTTAATGCAACATAATCATTATGATTTTTTTATGAATTTAAAGTTATTACCCAATACACTGCTTATAATGAAGGAATTTTCTTTTTTATGGAATAACAAAGATATTCGGCCCATTCTGTCTCTTGTAAAATACAAGTTCCCAGACTTTTTATCATAATAAATTAAGCTAAATGGTCCCTTCAGTAACTTCAATATATTTATTATTTGATTTTCTGAATATTCTCCCTAAAATAACATTAATTAATTTTACAAAATATAAGTGTATGTTAAATAAGTAATGAAATATTTAATGATTTTGGAGATATTTTGTGTCAAACTTTCTCTACTCCCAGGGTTGACTGGAAGAGAATGCTTATTAGCATTATGTTTGCCTTTTGTTTAGCCTTAAGTTGAGGTGAAACAATGAATTTTTAAATAAATAAATATTGTACAACAGTACCTGGTTGCTTATTTTTTCCATTATAACTTCCGCATCATTACAATTCCTGTCCCATTTGTCATCGAATATATCTCCATTGTAAAGTAAAACACCATGATCATTCTCAATTGGCTGAACAACTGGCTTCGGTCCTTGCATCCACAGTACGGCGCCGCAAAAGGAGAGCTCAACATTATCGTCATTTATCTGAACAGTGTGCATGCAGTCTGGTCCTCTGTTTTTAATTCTTTGCCATACTTTGGCATCCTTCAAGTAAATACATATAACATAAATTAAATACAAAAAAATAGAACATAATGGTTTATTCGAAAGATATATAAATTACGATACCAAGGATGAACACTGTCCATACCACATAATTTCGCACAATATTCCACACATAATTCCAAAGAATAGAAGGATTTTTAGTCAGTCTCGTCTTACTGTCGGCTCAGCTATATATAATATATTCAGATATATAAAAAATACTCTTTGAATATATTAATAATTAAAATATATCATTTCGCGTGTTTATTTTACTTTTTTTTAATATTGTGGCATAGAGAATGTAATCACTACTAGCGATGTGCGACTCGAGTTATTTGACTGGAGTAACTCGAGTCAAACCTTAAACGTCAACTCGAGTTCAGTTTTAAGCAACTCGAATCAACTCGGTCGTCCGAACGCAAGCCGGACGTTATACGCGGCGGCCTCACGAGTTGTTCCGAGTTACACACGCGGCTCGCGCGCGCGATCTTATTCGCATGGAATTAAGATTCAAAATTACTTAACTTATTCATAATATCTGTTTAAAAATCTGATATTGTGCCTTGCTTGCCATACTGCTCTAACTAGTGTAATATTTGTATCTCACGCGCTTTGTCGCTCAAAATCTGTTTAAAAATCTGCTATCGTTCCTTGCTTGCCATACTGCTCTAACTAGTGTAATATTTGTATCTCACGCGCTTTGTCGCTCAAAATCTGTTTAAAAATCTGATATCGTGCATTGCTTGCCGTCCCGCTCTAACTAGTGAGTATTTATATCTCACGCGCTTTGTCGCTCGAAATCTGTTTAAAAATCTGATATCGTGCATTGCTTGCCGTCCCGCTCTAACTAGTGAGTATTTGTGTCTGACGCGCTTTATCTCTCGAAATCTGTTTAAAAATCAGATATTGTGGCAAACGCGTATGATATCGCGATTCGTGTCGGTATAGCGAGCTAGCGAGTATTCGGTACATCAGATTTACTAATATATAGTTTTCATATCTGATACGATTTGTATCGCCCACTTCTACTTCCTATCTAATTAGCCTCGAGTCGAGCTGACTTGTGCTCTCCGAGTTGGCCGAGTCCCGTCCCCCCCCCCCCCTCTATGTCCCTACCTGAGACTTTGATGCGAGTCAACTCGACTTGCGATTCGAGTCAGTAGCCAAATCAACTCGAGTTACTCGAGTCAAAAAAAATCCAACGCGTCACATCACTGATCACTACGTTTATTCTAGAAGTGGGCGATACAAATCGTATACAGATACGAAAACTATATATATGAACTGAAAATCGCTTACTGGCCCGTTCAAAATTTAAGTATTTTACAATATGTGATATTTCCGAAATCTGATGTACCGAATACTGGCTCACTCGCTATACCAACATGAATCGCGATATCATACGCGTTTGCCATAATATCAGATTTTTAAACAGATTTTATGAATAAGTTAAGTAATTTTGAATCTTAACAACATGCAAATAAGATCCATTTCATTAAAATTATTCCCACAATATCAGATTTTTAGACAAAGCGCGTGAGATACAAATATTCACTAGTTAAAGCAGTACGGCAACAACATCAGATTTTTAAACAGATTTTATGAACAAGTTAAGTAATTTTGACTCTTAAAAGCATGCAAATAAGATCCGTTTCATTTAAATTATTGCCACAATATGAGATTTTTAGACAAAGCGCGTGAGATACAAATATTCACTAGTTAGAGCAGTACGGCAACAATATCAGATTTTTAAACAGATTTTATGAATAAGTTAAGTTATTTTGAATCTTAATGACATGTAAATAAGATCCGTTTCATTTAAATACTAAGCATGGTATCAATGATTACGATATCTTTTAATTCTTGTATTTGGCATTAGCCTTGAGCCGTAGCGAGCGACAAAGCGCGTGAGATACAAATATTACACCAAAGACTACTATTGTATACTGGAAATAGACAGGCAACTCGTTTTTTTGCTGTCAAACATGCGCCTCCTGGTATTCAAATGCGGAACTAAATTTGATAAATATAGCTAAAGCTACATATAGCTAGCTAAGGAAAGTAGTTACTAGGTATTAAAAATTTTAATAAGTTCGATTTACCACAAAAATTGGACGTGTAATACGTCCAATTTTTGTGGTAAATCAATATATATAATAATTTTAAACTGAATTAATTTATTTACAAGTTCCCATAACAATTAAAAATCTGTGACATTTATTTATATTTGACTTTAATACTAAAGTACCTGATACAAAAATAAATGAATAAATAAAAGATGTTGAATCATTTTAAGCAGTTTATTTCAATAATTAATTAAGACATAATTCAGTTACATGTCTGTCTTAATTTACAAACCTAGACTCCTACCATTTCTCAACAAACCATAAGTTTTTATTATATTTTGAAGTTTTAATTAACTAAACTTTTATCAATATTTTATCTTTTTCTTTTCCTCTCTTTATTTTTCAAAAAATGATTGTGGGCTGAATTTTTCATATTATCATTTAAGTCAATCTTTCCAATGAGAACATAATTGACATCTTTACACAATTTGTGAAAACGATTTTGTACTTTTGTTTAGTAAATAATTAAGCAGCCTTTCTTTATGATGTGAGCAAGACAGAAAATTTAAATCTTAATTAGTGTTTATTATCAATTTAATATACTGTGATGTAATTTCTCAAAAGAGTTCTCCAATGCATCCTAATTGAAGTTTTACAACAATAAATAACTTATATCTTTGGAATTTAAATATTTCAATATTACTCGGAAACCTATAGTAATTTATTCCATAAATGGTGATGTGGAGTGGCAGTTAATGCTGCTCTATTAAGTTTTCCTTTTTTTAACTTCACTGAAGCTGCCATTTACACTATCACACAGGTCATCAAATAAACCTGACAAGTTATGGTTTCAATGCTCTCCTTAAGTAATTTTCCACAATCTGTAATGAAAAGAAATATAATTTAATTTTTTTTTTATCAATAATACAATAATAACATTCAGGGACATTCTTTACACATGGTCATCTGATACCAAACTGAGCAGAGCTTTTACTAATGGTAAGCTGATTACTGACATACATGATTAAGTACAACATATACTGTTATAATACATACATGTATATATTTACAACCAATTCAGAAAAAGTTAACATTTTCAAGCACACAAATGTTTGTCCTGGGTGGGAATCTAAGTGACAAACAGCAGTGTAGTAGTCTGGGTCCCGTAAACCAACATGCCCGTCAATTATAATATTGTTTACTCAATCACACTACAACAGTATTATACCGTACATGAGATTCATTCAATTTGTAACATTAACATACAAATTTGCATACCTGCTACGAATCCAAGCGCCACACCACGACTTACTCAAGACTCAAGACCTGCGGCGTGCTGTGTTTCACTTCACTCTCAGAAAAATCGTAACGAACGGTATCACAAATTTATAATAAAAATTGTGCAGTGTGCACGATTCGAAATATCAAAAAAGATAACAGTGAACACTACAAAGCAATAACGATTGTCATAATATAAATTTTTCAGGTGATTTTTAAACAGCTGCCATATCAAGGCAAAGGCACACCCCTTGAGCCGTAACGGGCGACAAAGCGCGCAGTTAAGTAATGTTAAATCTTAACCGCATGGAAAAAAAAAATTTAGTTGCATTTAAATACGAATTACGATATTAACGATGTCTTTAAATTTTGTTTAGCCTTGAGCTGGATTGCATTGGTACCTAGCACGTAATAGTTAGGGATGCCAACTTACTACTTAAGAATTTTCTGCCAAAATTAAGGAAGAAAAATAAAATGGTAATATAAATGTTTTAGGTGGTAAATTTTTTGTGAATATTTTTTATTCGTTAAATTTTTTTCATATTTTGGAAAAAAATAAAAGTACACAAAAAGAAAAATATAATTTAATAGTGCTGTGCTGCTTGGGTGGAAATCAGATCAAGGCTTATGTGCTTTGTGCCTTCTGCCCTAAGTTATAATTGAATGTACATTTCTTTTATTCTTTTCTTACACAAATTAAAACTCATAATTGCGTGTTCTAAGAATATGTTAAAGTCTATTATTAAGCGATATATAAGATGTTAAAATAAATCATTTTTATATTACTTCAATTTTTAATGAAATTTTTAATTTAATCAGGTAATTTGCCTTAATTATAAAAAATCGTGATTTAAAATTCAGTAAGTTTTTTGAATTTAGTCAATTTTACAATCTATTTAGAAGTAAGCTTTTTGAACAGTTGGTATATGGAATGAATCAACTTTTAAATACGCCTGCACAATTTATATTCATAATGAGTATAAAATATCGTTGAAAACATTTTTTTTTTTTTTTTAGAATTCAATGTGGATACGTGACCGTAAATATCTAGATATTAAAATACATAGTTTCTTTTTGAATCTCTACTTCACTAAATGAAAATAAATATTTTTTGCAAAAATATCTCTTTTTTTTTTTGTTCTTTGTATCTCAAAAATTATTAATATATAATTAATTTAATGTGTAAAATCTCCATAGGATTTATTACTATATTTTATAGTGGCAGCACTATGTATTTTAGTATTTCATTTGTCTTCCAGATGGCGATGTTCCGAAATTTTCTTGAAGTAGTTCTAATTTGCCATAGCATGTATTACACTAGTCAGAGGGATACGGCAAACAATGCACAATATCAGATTTTCAAACAGATTTTATGAATAAGTTAAGCAATTTAGAATTTTAAAAGCATGGAAAAAAATCTCTGTTTCATTTAAATACGCATGGTATTAACGATGTCTTTAAATTTTGTTTAGCCTTGACCTGGAGTACCTACATTGATACTTAAGCACGTACGTAGTAAGGGATGCCAACTTAGGAATTTTCTTCCTAAATTAAGGAAGAAAACTTTTTAGGAGTTAAATTTTATTCACATTTTTGAAAAAAATTAAAAATACACAAATCGAAAAAGAAAAATATAATTTAATAATTCCGCTGCGATGGGTCGTTGAAGGTATTTTCTTCAACTTAACGTTAAAGTTGATTCATGTTCGTCAACTAGTTGATCAACTAGTTAAATTCGTCAACTAGTTAACGTGACACATACATAAGTATTTTAAATTGCAAGCCCTTTCTTCTAGAAAAACGGATGAAAACTATCTATGCATAAATCTAACAAATCTGAATATATTTTTTATTTTTTTTTATGTGAAAAGTTGCCAAACGAGCAGACGGTTCACCTGATGGTAATTGAATACCGCCGCCCATGGACATATGCTACTCCTGAGGGTTACAGAGGCGTTGACAACTTTATGAAAATTGGGCTCCAGCTACCTCACTCACCAGACTAACCCGAAAGTATTTGTCATACTTCCACTTTACGCTGGTCTTCTGTGAGGTCGTGGTACTAACCCGGACGGGCCTGCCCATTCATGCAACAGCTGAGGCTGCTATGTGGCCCTACCACCGTAAAACTAACATGTTCTTTGAAACTAATTTTTTTTCTTATCAAAATTAACCATCATACGCTGGTGTTTAAAGATTGGTACTAAAACACTGATGAAAATATTTAAATATATTTCCATTTCAAGTAGTTTTTAAAGTTAAAGTGGACAATTTGTTCGATATTTTCTCCTTGCATACATTACAGCTTTTCCGCTAGAATTGTCTTTTAGGTATGAAGCCATAACTCACTGTTAATACGTTCAATTATTTTGTATTTTGTACCCACAGTTCTCTATACACTTAAATAATCATAAATTAAAATAAAAAAACACTAACCACAAAGTAAAATTCTGATAAACAAAATTAATAACATTCCAAATATAATAAAATTATATTTAAAAAAATAATAATAATTTATAATTAAAAATTAACAAATTCACAAAAAAAAAAAACACTAAACATGAAGTAAAGTTCTGATAATATTTACGCAAAGCCGCAAAATATTCTATAACCTCGCGCGCAACTAATCACAAACTGTCAAACAAAAATAAAGAAAGCGAACTTAAACATGTCCTTCATAAAATTAAACAAACATTTCAACTCAACTCTGTGACGTTTTTTTCAACGTAAGTTTTTTTCAACGTTAAGGTTTTCAATTCGTTAAGCTTATGTTCCGTTGACTTAACGTATCGTTGACTGCGTTTTTAAACGAATTGATTCAACGACATAATTTCCGAAACGACGTTATAGAATTCAACTAGTTGATTTCAATGACAGTTAAAGTTAATTCGTTAACAAGAGATCAACGGTTGATTCAACTAGTTCGTTGATTCAACGCTCATCGCTATCCGCTGCATTGGTCAAAGTAGCGTTTAAACGTAGTGATTACATTCATACATTCTCTTTGGCATTGGTGAACGTCAGGACAAGGCTTGTGTGTATATTTTAAATTCTTCCGCCCTAAACTATAATACTGAATGTTATTAATTAATAAAAATATTGTCACTCACTTTTATTTTTTTATTTTTAAAATTGAATGAATTTAAGGTGGATACGCGAACGTAAAATATCTAGATATTAAAATACATAGTTTCGAAATCTGATATTTGAAATCGAAATCTGATTCAGATACGGTTCTCAGAAAAAGCGATAGGACCCATCTCTATTATTAACAGTAATAAACATGTATTTTTTTTAAATTGCTACTTAAAACTTTTTCTACTTATGAACCAAAATAGCAAATCACTGATTTTACGGACGATGGTAAGTGCTTCGAAGCTTGCTGCAGCAAAAGTCATATTCCATGCCGTACTGTATTTAAAACTTCAATAATTCGAAATCCTGTGTGGCAATCCACTTTGCTCATCATTCTTAGTTATCAGATTAATAACAGGCAAAAGTACGGTATTTTCTTAGATCAACTGTGCAAAACTGTTTTCTACCACTACATTTCATTACCACTATAAATTTGTATTATATTAATTATACTTTATATTTTTCAGAAATACCTGTTTTGGATGCCTATATTGACAGCCCTCAATATGATATATGTTTATACAGTCCAACTTCGGGTTGCAGGTAAAAATCAAGTTATAATTCATAATGTAGACATAATACAATATCAGTAATAATTCATGCTTAAACAAAAAGCAAATAAATAGACTAAACATACAATATTCATTAGAAAACAAATTATAAAAAAAAAATATAAAAAGAAACTTTCTATAAAATGTACACTTTTTGCTAAATGCTCCTTTTAAGATGTGCTCATTTTGCTAAAATACAAATATTGAAAATTGCCTGTAAAGATAAAGTAATATAAGTAATATAAAATAAAAAATTCAATAAATAATAATAAGTATAAGTGATATAAAGTAAAGTGGGGTGCAATTTTTTTGCCCTGCACATCAGCGTTGTGCACATCAGCGACGGAACCAGTAATGCTTAGATCCCAAATTTATAGAAGCCAACATATTACTACCATTAATGCAATGAGCAAATCACTGATATAATGATAAGTGTAAGGCTTGCTGGTACAAAAATCATTTTTCTCGCTACCCTTATGCATTTAAAACTTCAATAATTCAAAATCCTGTGTGGTAATTCACTTTGCTCATCATTCTGAGATAGTAAATAATTGACAGGCATTTCCTTAGACAAATTGTGCAAAAATATTGTTTTCACAACTACATTTCATTATCATTATAGATATTTATGTAATTAATGAAACTTTATTATTTTCAGAAACATCTACGGTTATGGATGTCCATGGTTACATTCCAACTACCGGTTTCAGGTAAAATTAATCTATACAGTAAATTAAACAGGAGTGTCTGTTTGTAATATTAAAATAACCGCTTTTTAGTAAATGTATGTGGATGTTGTTATTTTTTACAATATTTGTCTGTCTGTCTGTTTGTTCCGGTTAATCTCTGAAACGGCTGGGCCGATTTTGACGGAACTTTCAGTTGCAGATAGCTGATGTAATAAGGAGTAACTTAGGCTACTTTTATTTTACAAATTTTAATTTATTTATTTTAAATTCCACGCGGACGAAGTCGTGGGCACAGCTAGTTTATAATTTAACAGTAATATAACAGGAAAACTATGCTTATACAAAAATCATGTAAAATTATTAAAAGTGCAATATTTATCAATCATAAAGAAAACAATCTTATCCTTTAAATGAGCAATTCTTGTGTATATATTATATAGTACTTGCTTTTTTTTTTTGGTAAATCGTATATTTGGAAATTGCTTTTAGATACAAATTACTGAGTAATGAATTATGCATAATATTTTTCGATCTTAGCGACGTAGTAATAAGAAAATATGAACTGCTGTTTTCACAAAAGAAAGATTTTAAAAAAAAGGAAAAAATAACAAAATAACAAATCGACAAAAAATAAAAAATTAAGAAAGCAATGATCTGGTATCGAAAAAAAAGTAAAAAATAAGCGTGTTAATGATAGTGATACCAACCGCGGCCGTCTGTTTTGGGGCCGCCCGATTGCCGACCGAGCTATTATAACATTTTTTTTTGCGGCGAAATTTACTGTCATATTCGAATGATATTTTTCATTCCCTAAAAACAGGGATAAAAAGACATTTTCTAAGAATGTAACGTAGAGATTAAGATTATATATATATAAATATTTATATTTTATAATCACACAAAAATATTTTGATAATAAGTAAATAATAAGCTAATTTATATCTATATGTTACAGGTACAAAGAAAGTAACAACTTAAAGCAAAAAATTACACAATTAAGAAGTAAAATTAGTAGACTAAGAAAAAGAAGTAAGAATTACAAAAAGAAACAGCAAATACCCAGAAAATATATTGAAAACCATGAAGAACACAAGTGTTTTAGCTAAAATAAATATTCAATAGATGTTTGGACGATACAACAATGAATATTATTTTGTAGTCGATTTTGAAGTCGGTACCGATCGATCAATCTAATTTAATGTGCGAAACAGTTGTAAGATCAGTGTAAAAATGTTATTTTAACAATCATAGATATAATAAAAGCGAGAAATAAATAACATTGCTTTATTTTCACATGTAATTGCTACTTCATACTTAGTATACTTTAAGTTCTTCATAATTATAAACGTATATCTATTAATGCAGCTATATATTTTATTGATATAATAGTTACATTTAATAAGTTCACAATTTCGTGATGAATACCTTACTGATAAGGCGTAAATACATCATATAGGTATGCACCGAATGTTTCGGAACAAGAAATATAGATGTCGCTAGCCCGCGGTGTTGACCAAAATAATATGCGAGATGGCTCTCTATTTCTGTAGTATTACTTTACTCTATGGTTCTAAGATTCCATGCCGTGACGACCAGTAATATATATATCTTATCTATGGTATGGACTGAAAAGATATGGTTAATTTGATACAAATTACAATACAAATTACATCTGTTAATGTTATACGACTTGTCGTTAAAACGTAGTGGTTATATACTCTAATACTCTTTGTTGTCGCTTACCAACTCCATTATCTATTAAATCATCTATTAATAAAAATAACATATTTAGATATTTATATAAATTTAGTGATCGAATGTGTATCCTGCAATATTTGTAAAAGAAGATTAGTTTTAAGATTAATTTAAAATGCAATTGCTGAATGCGAAAGATGATATTGAAATTGATTTGGATGTAGTACGAGTAGACATAGTACATGGTATTCGTGAATGTAACGATCGTGGATTGACACAAACAGTTAAATGGCTGGCAGAATTAAATTATGCTCTAAAGGATCACAAAATTAATAGCACAAATCCTAAGTTAGGCGGTGAAGGCATACCATTCGAAGAACGTGAATCTTATTTATTAGCAAAAAGTTACTTTGATTGTCAAGAATATGATCGAGCAGCTCATTTTATTGAAAGTTGTACCAGTCCTAAGTGTGTGTTTTTACACAGATATTCTATGTATATGTCCTGTGAAAAGAAAAGACTGGATAATGCTACGGATATAGGCCCAGAGAACTCTGAGGCAACACAAGAATTACTAGAACTGTTATCATTTTTTAAGGTATGTTTTTAGTTTTATGCTTGTGTAGTTTAGTAGGATTGTTAGTGTCTATTATCAATATTACTTTCAGGCAAACCGTAACACTTTAGATGGATATTTGTTATATTTGGAAGGAGTTGTCCTTAAGAAATTGGATCTTCGAAGTCAAGCAGTATCAGTGTTACAAACTGCGATAGCTGCTGCTCCAACCCTTTGGGCTGCATGGATAGAACTTGCTGGTTTAGCAAATGAATATGAGGCGTTAGACTCTTTACAGTTGCCTAAGCATTGGATGATGTACTTCTTTGCTGCACATGCATTTGTGGAACTGAAACTATCGGAGCAAGCTTTAGAAGCATATACTGTATTAGCTAATGCCGGATTTGATAAAAGTACTTATGTTACAGCACAAATGGCAATTGCACATCATGATAGAAGAGGTAAGTTTCTGGTCCATTTCATCAATTAATAGTTTTGGTATAATAAAGTAACTTAAGTTCGTTACTTTTAAAATTTGTAGAAAAAGTATGAAAAGTTTGTCGCCGCTGTGGGAATAAACGGCTGATTGTCACCCTGACGAAAATCATGTCTTTTATATATATAGATTTTTAGTATTTGAAGCAATGCTTAGCGTATCCATTGTTTTATCCTTTCCAGCGTACAAACAAACTAGAATATCATTTTACAACGATAATTAACGAGAGACGGCATTGCTTTTTAGAAATTTTAATTTTTATAGTGCTAATCTCTGCACTTAAGATTAAACATTAAAATTTGTAGAAAGTAAGAAAGGTTTGTCACCGCTGTCGGAATCGAACCCACTTCTTCGGCATTCGCGGCCTGACGCTTTAGCCACTAAGCTAAACGGAAATGAACAATAATATAAGGACTATAATTTGGTTAATTATTTTTCTCTTAGATGTCGATTCATCATTGACATTATTTGGTGAACTATATCAGAATGATCCATATCGACTAGACAACTGGGATGTTTACTCTCATTTATTGTATTTAAAAGAAAAACGCATGGAATTGGCAAAGCTAGCACAGAAAGCTGTTTCTATCGATAAGTATAGAGTTGAAACATGTTGTGTTATTGGTAAGTGGTATATTGACAGACATTAATTAGATTCCCATATTTATACACCTCAGGGTGAATTTACTAAAATCCTTTCTATACATGCCACATATATATTAAGTATGTACTGACAACATTTTATCCAGTAATATACAGCATGTCGTTACAACCGCGACAATAAATCAACACATGTCGTAACACTATTTGCCAATTAGTATTAATTTAATTTTATAAGCTAGTTTCCTTAAATTTATGGCTAATGCTTCTTATCAAAATGTAGGTAATGTTAATTGTAAATACTGCACTTATAAAATCTCTCTATGTGAATATTATTTCTAAAAGGTTTTCTTTGGTGGTAAGCGTTTTCTTCTTTAAAACATTTTAAAAATTGTTATTGAGACAGTTTTAAAGACTCTGCTTACTTTTAGATCACTTACTAGACGAAACACAGAAGTACACTTTCACTTCATATATACTATATCTTTTTTGAGGTTGAGGTACTTCCCATTTGTGTCTTGTATCTTGTATTAACTGATGTTGTTGGTTACAGTCCCGAGACTATTAAAGCTTCATCTGCCCATTTGTGCAACAGCAAATATAACTATGTGGCCCTACCACAGTTTTAATATAATCTGTCAATGTGATTACTGTTAAAATTATCTCAAGAGTTATTGAAGATAAACACGGAATATATTCCTTACATATACATATTCTAAATAACAACATTTAAATATTTCCAATTGGATTTGCTTTCTAACTTTTAACAGACTTCAAAAGAAGGTTTGTTAATGTTTGTTACCCCATAACTTTTGCAAGATAAAATTGATTTAAATGATTCTTTTTTATTTGAAAGCTGGTAAGCATTATGAAATTTCATTGGTTTGATCTTGGGCTCCGGAGATACTTGCTCATAATCAAAAGTTAATTCACTCAATATATACTTTTCAGGTAACTATTACAGTCTTAGAAGTGAACACCAAAAAGCTGTTGTATATTTTCAAAGAGCACTTTCACTAGATCCACAATACTTATCAGCTTGGATATTAATGGGACATGAATTTATTGAATTGCAAAATTCTAATGCTGCCATACAATGTTACAGACAAGCCATAGGTAATGAATAACATATGGCTTGTTATAATAATTTATTTTAGATATATTTAATATCTATAAATGATTAAAAATATTGTATTTTTTAGATGTCAATAGAAACGATTACAGAGCATGGAATGGACTGGGCCAGGCATATGAGATTTTGGGTTTAAATGGTTACTGCATTTATTATTATTCGAGAGCAGCGCAACTCAAGCCAGATGATTCTAGAATGTTAGTCTCCCTCGGCGAGGCATATGAGAAAATGGATAAGATTCCAAATGCACTTAAATGTTATTACAAGGCTCATAGTACTGGTGACATTGAGGGAATGGCACTTTTTAAATTAGCAAAGTAAGGACTTTTTGTTTTAGTCATTAACTTTGTGAGTGTATAACACATGGTTTTATTAAATTAAAAATAACAGATTACTTTGCCATTTGAGGTAAGTATTCTGAAGCTGCATGGTGAGCTATAACTGGGACACAGGGAACACCTTACCCAGTAATGAAATGTATAAGCTGAAATCTGTTCCATTTTTTTATTTATGAGAATGTGTAGTATTTCATTGACTATTTGTAAAATTGATTACTCAGAGTATACATTACAGAGCAATAAATGCTCTTATATCTAACTCTAACTCTGAGGGTGAGACAGTGAGGGCCAGTTCTAAAATTTTTAACTGTCCCGGTTGCTCTAAAACTGGCAAGATGCCAGTTTTAGGGCAAACATGCAGCCTTTCATTAACACCAAAAATTAGATAAGGGCATGCAAGAAATCTAATAATTAGATTAGATAATACTTTCTTACACTATTGCCACTTTATTTATTTAAAAACCCAAACATACATCTTCAATAAAAATATAAGACTGTAGTTTTAGTAGTTTTGTACAATTAAATATTATTTTTAAAAGTTTTTAAAGCACAGTGGTGTGAATGTGAACAATTAATAAAACTTAAGCAAAGATATGACAAATTTTGCTTGTCAGTTAGGTATTTTTATTCATTAAAACACAATATAAATAAGGAATTCCAGGAGTCTCCTATTTAAGGAGCCATTATTAAAAATTGAATTAAAGTAACTATTCTAAAATATTCAGGCTTTATGAGAAATCAAACATGCCAAACAGTGCTGCTGCAGCATATACTGCTGCTTGTCAAGATCTAGCCAATGCTGGAAGCAAGGAACTTCCCGCTGCACAACGCTACTTGGCTCAATACTACTTAAGATTCAGCTTACTTGATCATGCAGCTCATTATGCCTACAAATGCCTGGAACATGAAAGTGTAAGAATCGTACATTGTTATCTTTATCTACTAGATCAGAATCAACTGGTGTATGTTTATGTTTTATAATCTAAATTTAATTTTTAGACGAAAGAAGCAGGAAAAAATATTCTCAAGGCAATATCTGATAAAAGATTAGCTGCCTCGTCTTCGCAGCCTGCTAACTTGTCTGATGACTTACCAGATGCTATCAAAAATATATCGAGCACTTCTATAACACAAGACACTCCGAAAACACCCTTTCCGAGCCCAAATGTAACACCAGACAACTTCTCAACACCAATGTTCTCAAGGAAGAATAACAAGTACAAAATGTGAAAATTTAGGTGTCGATGGAGAAAAATTTGTAAATAATTGAAGTTATGTGATGGGTTTTTGTGATTGCAGATCTTCTGGTGTTAATTCTCAATCTCATTTTGGTTTTCTAAGTATAGTCAGTACTTTTCTTAATTAAGAGGCTGCTTAATTAACATTCTTTTGCAATACATATTACAAAATGACTACAGTGCTACTCTAAAAATTATTTGTATTAACAAATATTTGTACTTGTATTGTTAAATGTACCATAAGGCTTATATTGTAATTTATTACAACCTAGTAAGTTTGTTATGGATTTTTTTTTTGGCATTTAAAGTTACCTGTGAAATTTAGCATTTAGATGGTGTGTAGTTAGAACTGCAATATCAAGGTAGAATATATCAACAATCAAATATCAAAAATATAGTTGGATTGAGTGGGTATATATGACATCCAATTTTATTGGGTGTTGGATTATAAAATGGGCTACTCTAAAGATATGAAATTAGCTTAAGAAGAAATTTGGTAAGGGTTAGGGAGTAACACCCAAATAAAAAAAATCAATATAAAAATAGTTTCGATTTATTTTTACAATTTTAAACAAGTTAACAGATCTCAGTGCTCAAAAAGTAAAAAATTACATTAAAATTAAATAAATAGTCAAGTGCATTGATTAAAAGTAAAAATTGTTCAAATTAGCTCTTTGCAAATAATGTTAATTACTGATTACAATCACAGATGAGACATAAAATTTGAGAGCTCATTCCATATAAAAGCCATTTTATAACAACAATCTATAACTACTGTTATATATCTAGTATAAACATGGTTTAAAATATATTGTTCTTCTCATGGTAAGATTAGTTGCTCTAAATTAAAATTATTAATATACCATATTTGTAATTATTAGTAGTATAAAGGGCATATTAAGAAATTTATGTAGACAATGAATTTCTGTATGTTTATAAAAAGCAACTTTCAATTAACAAATCAAAAGATCATATGATTAGATCTAGCCTCTTGATAGAAAACTACTAAATTTATTCATATACCATGTCTTTTATTAGATGGTTTGTACCTTTGAAACTCCTTATAATCTTCCATGACTAACTTGAAAGTATCGCAATTTCATTTTCAAATGCAGCCTTACCATAACTGACCTAATCAATAATTTTTGATTTCTACAATGATACAAAAATCTTTGCAATTATCCACATAAGGCACATGTTTAAAAACTTCATGTTAATAATAAAATATATAATACAACAATTTTTTCCATTTTAAAGTACAAGCAACTGACTCAATGATTTTATTAAATACTATAAGTAATAAAGCTTAGACCAGCATCTTTGTTTTTGTTCATATTAAAATACTTAACCCACTGTTCAATACTACAGCTGTCCTAAATAATAATCTCTATAAATGTTCCATTGTTTCTACATACCTGTATTTAGGCACTTAAATTTACAATCATAACAAGCATGTTATTAATAATACTATTGCAGTGTAAATAAATAGTAGTGTGTATATAAATGTATATATATATATATATATATATATATTTTTTTTAACATTATTTAATTTGTAGCTTAGTTTGTGCTTTTTGTTATGCTTATTTTTGTTAAGTTCACTTGTTCTTCATAACTTTATTCTTAATGAGACTCATCAAAGAAATGGATTTTTTGAATTTCCCAAAGTGGGGTTGCTTGAAGGCTAGAAATAATGGTAAGAGATATTTATGTAAATAATTTTTCTGTACAGGGGATGAAAAACACTTTTATGCATTCCTGAGTCTTGTGAGCTTAATAGATAAATTCTTGAAAATTTTTTGGCACTTTCAAGATTCAATAATATTAAACTCACATTTGAGTTTTATCTAGAATGCAAGCTAGCACTAAAAATACAAAATAATTATTAATATTCCAGTGTCTCAATGTATGTACAGTGAAACCTGTTTAGGTATTCTATTACAATTGATAATGTTTCATTGTCAATCCAACACACTTAAAGATCTTTTTATAGAGAAAAAGGAAGACCTATAATTGGAGAGTTGATGTCACATGTAATGCTGCATACTTTTTGGACTTGCCCCAAATAGTAGTTATAAAGTAAAGATAATTAATTAGAGTTTGCAGTATTTGACTACAGGAAAAGATGGGAAGCCCCTAGTTTAACCCCATTAAGGAAATAATTTAATAAATTGAAATTAGTAAAGTATAGATGTAATTCAAAGAAAACAAATATAATAATATTGTTATCATGAAGTAGGCATACTCATTTCCTGTCCTGTGTTATCAGTGAAGGATAGCTATATATTAAAAATAAGTTTATTGCCTGCATACAACTTAAAATTTATATAAATCTATGAGTTAATTATGAGACTCAAATATTTAAAAACCTTTATTTCATTAACATGTTTAAATTCAATAACAATTAGTAACTCTTGGACATTTGCTATTAACAACCAGGAGTTGAAAACTATGTATAAAAATATTTGCAGTTATAGAAATGAAATGAATTTACATTTGAAAATCAGATATTAAATAAGTTCCACTCACATATCTGGTTGTTCATTTCAGCATAATTATAATTGACTGACAAGATACTGTTGCTAGCAGTCATTTAATACTCTAGTACTAAAAGTTTCTTACCAAAATATTTGTGAAAATTTTCTTGTTCATCAATATTATATTGAATGAATGAATGAATGAATTCTGTAATATAGAAAATTTACTCACCATGAATGGATTAACTGGCATTGCTGTGGTAGAATTCCATCCACTAATGAAGAAGGGATTTTTATTAGAGAACAAATCATTGGTAGTTGTGCTTTGGAATGGATTCTTACTATTTGTATTACTACTTTCTTCTGAAAATAACAGTTTACTTGAAAAGTAGTATTAGGGAATGCATAAAAATAATAAGTAATTCTACATTTATTTACTCACCCATATTTTTCATATTCTGCTGTCTTAAAGCTAAGTCTAAATCTGCTAAAGCAGCATAACGATCATCTGTAAAAAATACTGTATAAATATTTCAATGCTAAGAAAAGAATTCTATACAAAACTTTGGAATAGGCTTACTTGTAGAAGTAGTACTTAAGTTGCTTGTATTAAAAGAGTTAAAATTTGTTAAAGCTGAGGACGGATGAGATACAAAATTATTATTATTATATTGAGCACTATTATAAATATTTGCAGTGGAGAAGTCAACAGGAAAACTGTAAAATAAAAAGTAAATTAAAATATTTTTTACACAACTAAATAATGCACAATTATAATAAAGACTTACTCAGATATTGGTGCAGAGATTGGAGGTGTTGACGCAGGGGCTGCTGTCATGTTTGTAAGGGCTGACTGCGAAAAATTATTGATAGGCCTAGCCAATTTTAGACTTGTTTCATCAGGTGGTGTATTCACTATTTTAGCTGTATTCAACTTAAGATTATTATTACTACTCTTTGTGATCTGAGGTGTTATTGATATCAAAGGTGTGTTAATAGAGGCGCTGCTAAGGGGTTTGATTTTAGTTTTATTTTTTATCGAACTACCATTGGTAACAGAGGGATTATTTAAGGGAGGATCGAGATAATAACGCTTTTTTTCGTATTTATCAGACATAAAGTCTTTAACGCTTTGTTCATCGGTAAAGTTAACACTTTCTCCTTCATAGAGACCTAACCACACGCGTCTACAATAATCATTTCCTCTTGCTTTTATGAATTCTATCTCTTCCGGTGTAAACGTGGCCATTGAAATCGACTTCACGCGATGAGGTGGTGTAAGACCACGCCTGAAAATTTATATGAAGTACAAACTTACTGTTTGTTGATCTAGTTTTATCGTATAACGCAAAAATCGTACTTACAACATTCCTGAACATTTTGAACATACAAAGGAGCCGATTGTTGTGTTTACATAAGTAGGTCCCCTTTGGTTGCAATCTAGACAATATTTATTTCCATTTAGAGATATAAGTTCACGTAAAATTTCCAAATTTCTATCGTCTTGCTTGCGACGGCTAGCAGCCATTTTCGCTATGTATAAAATATATTTTATTTACGTTTTCGTTACTCCTTAATACCCTTTTCTTTGTCTATGTTTTATACTATGAGCACTGAGAGCTGTCACTGATGTCAATTTTTAATAGATTTTGGGGAAAAAAATCATATATTTTTAATTTTAGTAACAGAAACCTACAAAACCAATTAACATAAGGACTTTAATATATTGCAAATTAATTAAGGTAAAAGTCAAGAACGATTCTATGAAATGTTTTGTTATAGTTTTTCTTAGGTAACGTTTGTATCATATTTTAAGTTTCTTCCTTCTACATCTAGCTCTTAATCTTTTTTTTATATCTGTAGTCCGCAATGGCCATTGGCCTCTGCGCCTGGACATATATTTCCTATATTCATACCACCAGTTTTATGCAGCAGCACAGGACTTTAATACTTACTAACTAAACTATAAGCGGCGAGAGTTCTCCTTCGAGTACGTTTTATCGTGTACAGCTAAGTAAAGGTATATGATTGTAAAATTAATTTTACTTTAACTTTAATTCATGATATGTAAAATTCGTTTATTATTAAGGAGGTGGCTTAATTGCGCAGCTGTTTTTACGAGTGGATCATGGATTCGATTCCCACTTCGTACAAGTCTTTGTTTAAACGAACATGTAAGTTAATAATAAATATACAGCGTGTCGTTACCAACGCGACAATAAATGAACACACATACAGGGGATAACTTTTTAAAGTTGTATTAAACATTTAAATTCTTTAAACATCAATATTTACAGAGTTATTAAATTTTCCAAAACAAACAATTTTAGAACACCCTAACGTATAAAACTGTAAAGTAAAGTTCATTTGTAAACGCAAAGCATATGAATGGGTTGAATGAATTTAAAAGATACAAAACATACTGTTAGAAGGAGAAGCTTGTAATGCGACGCTGTGGCGCGAGTTGTATAGTTTGTTACAAATTTTGTTTCTTTTTCACTTAATTAGTTTGTTTGAAAAAAAATTTTTTAATTATGGATTTTGTTTAACGTTAATATTTTTTTATGATTATTGGCAAGTAGCGTTAGACATGTGTTCATTTATTGTCGCGATGGTAAAGACACGCTGTATAGTTAGCTATAATCTGCAAGAAATTGTTCCGGCAATAAGTTTCTTGAACCCATAACCTCTACGTATGGTTGTATTTTCGTCCTCACTACTGGTTGACTACTGCTGACTTTATCACGTCCTCCGCGGTGAAGGAAAAAATCGCGATATTTCGAAGATATGTGAAGTCCGCCAATCCGCAGTGGGGCCGTATACCTCCCTATACCCTCTGTATAGAGGAGGCCTTGGCCCAGCAGTGGGACATGTATAGGCTGTTACTTTTATTTATAAAAACTATCCAATACCCATGATATTTTATTCCCAAAAAAATCCAAAGACAATCAAATGAACTAGAAATCTTGAACACGAAAAAAAATATTAATATTAATTCATTAAAAACGATGTGTTTCAATCAAAGAATAGAAAATACTAAACCCGCGTAAGTGTAACACCGAAGGGAATTTTATGATGTGACTGTATGCTATAACTTATTCTTGCTCTCGGGAAGTCAACTAAACTTAAGTTAAGAATATCCTATAAAAATATAATAAATCTAGATTTAGAATTATTTGCAATTAAAAAGTCTACTATCATTTTATTTCTAATTAGATTCAGCTAATATTAAATAACTTGTATAAATATTAGTAAAGACTAATAAAAATGTTTAGTAGTTGGAAAAATATAATATACTAAATGGCAGAGAGTTGTAGGTCTTTTGACTTCTGCCAATCAAAAAAAAAAATCGTTTCTTTGTCAATGACAGTTAATTTGACTTGATAACAAGGCTGCCAACTTAGGGATTTTCCCCCTAAATTTAGGCGTAAAGAAATGCGTTGGGATTTTTTTAGTGGCGTCATATAATTAGGATTTCTCGTGTCGTATATCTTGTACCTTTTATCTCGTCGTGATTTATTTCTACGTTTTATTCTTTTTTTTTTTAAGAAAAATAAAGGGTATGAAGGCCATCTAGTACGGTTTGTAATTACTATGAATGTGAAGTTGAACTATGGAGAGTAGAGATATAAGGTGTCAGTCTAAACGCATTCAATAACGATAGCGTAGGATAAATATTAAAGAAAGCACCTAAAGTAGTCAAATGTTTTAACATTCAATAATAATTCACTTATTCTACCAATAATTGATGCAGATGTTTGTTACCAAGAATTGAACAAAGACCTTCTCAACAAGCATGAGCGCCATTCAAAAACTGCATCAGCTACGTTTTTGGCCTTGTAAAATTTGATCTTATTACTCCCTATCGCACTCGACTTAAATGGCTTACAGTTAAACAAAGACGTAATTCTAGAATTTTGTTTGTGCTTTTTTCGATTTTCTCAGCTTCTCTGTCCTTTCTTAAAGATAAATTTAAATACCTCTCTCTAAACAATGAAAGAGACCTCCGTTCTTCATCTAACCTCAAGATTTTTACTCCTCCACATAGAACTAGTTTCTTCGTTGACTTTTTCGCCGTTTAGGCTGCTCTATTTTGGAACTTCTGGCCTGAAGTATTTAAGCGTGTGTGTATATCATATATTGTATACAGGGGGCTTTTCTAAAGGTGCCCAAATTTACACAGGACGTTCAGTCTCGGTAATATAACAGTTTATTGAAATAAAAACAAACTTTTTTTTAAAATTGCTATTCTATTCCCTAAAAAACAGAACTTGTTGACAATGCGGTAGTCATTCATAAATACCTAAATTACGCACTTGCACTTTCATTTACGCACACAAACAAAATTAAGCGCTCGCGATAAATCGGAGACGAACCGTGCCGGCACGGCGTCGTATACTTTTGAAACGAACTTGTTTGCGTTGTAGTTATGAAAGATCGCGCGTAAAATAAATGAGTTGCCTATAAATCACGCACTTCCTGAAATAAATTCAAATGAATGTAATTAATTAATTACAAGTGATTTTAAACATTTATCATTTTTATATAACATTATGTATTAAAACATGTAGAAAAAGTACGAAAAGATTGTCGCCACTGTGGGAATCGAACCCACGTCTTCGGTATTCGCGGCCTGACGCTTTAGCCACTGAGCTAAACGGCTGATAGCCACAGCAACGAAAATCTTAACGCCTTCATTCTACATTGTGATGACTGGGAGAGAATACTAAAAGGCATTAAGTTCCTTGCTTAAGGTAATTGTAGGTAAATAAAGTATAAAAAAAATAGTTAATCACATTTTGGAATTACGATAAAAATATTGTTTGTCTAAAGAAATTATAAGCGAGAAATATTTTTAATAAAATTAAAATCCCTATAAGTTTGTTTATACACTTTTTATAATACCAACATTTTTCAGCAATATACTTCAATATATTATTTTATTCATGTAGCAATTAATGCCAAAATTTTTGCGCTACGTATTATTTATAATTTTTTTTAATATTTTTTTATTTTGGGTTGGGGGGTTTAGGGGTTTTTACTGAAGCTTTAGGGACAAATATTTTTGAGAGTTAGCAACACTGCTTGATAATAAAACATTTTTATAGGGATGGGCAAGTAAAAAAATATATGGATATTCAAAAAATATCATCGTGAGGAACTGGCCAGTTATGATATTTTTTTAATTTATTGTCAAATTTGAAAATAGAAAATTAGATGACATACACTTTTTTCATTCATTTGTTTTATTTTCCCGAACAATACGTTTTGTCAACTTGTTCGAGTAATAACTACGTAATTGTAATTTTTTTGAAAACTTGCACTTAATGGTTTTTTATAAATTTGTTATTCTATAGGCAATTTTGTTTATTAAAAGCTCTTTATTATGCCTGACTTAACATCACTGGAAATCATTAGGGCTGATGAAATGAGAAGAAATGGCCATACCTACAGATCGATTGCCTCAAGGCTTCGTCGACCAGTATCAACGATTGATCGCAGCATCCAGCGGTACAGATCGTCTTATTCTCTTGTGAGGAGGAGGGGTCAAGATAGAAAAAGATGTACATCGAGGCGAAATGACAGTTTTTTTACAACTTGGAGTTCGTAGGAATACGCGATTAACGGCTGTACAAGCTCGAAATGAACTGGAAGACGTTCGAGGAGTACGAGTAAGTGAGCGTACAGTTCGCAGCAGATTTGAAGAAGTTGGTTTAGGGTCGTATATACCTGCCAAATGCCCAAAACGTGAGAGACCTCACCGCGTAAACCGATTAAGCTATGCGCGAGAACATCGTCATTGGGATTTGAACGAATGGCAGCAGGTTCTCTTTACTGATGAGTGCAGAGTTCTTTTAAAACAGATCGATGGGAGACAGCGAATATGGAGACGCAAAGGAGAAAGCCACGTACAGTCTAATTTTGAACACACAGTGGCTTATGGTGGCGGCTCGATTATGGTTTGGGGAGGGATATGTTTGGGAGCTCGCACGGAGTTAGTGATAGTCACAGGAGGGACCATGACAGCAGATCCATACATCAGAGACATTTTAGAAGAACATGTTGTACCATTTGCCCCATTTATTGGTGACGACTTTATTCTAATGCAAGATAATGCTCGTGCTCATAGTGCACAATCGGTACAGGCATATCTGAGCCACGTAGCTATACCGGTGATGCAGTGGCCAGCAAATTCCCCCGATATGAATCCGATAGAGCATGTCTGGGACTTGCTAAAAAGAAGGGTTAAATCCAGAATGCCACCCCCCAACAATCTGAATGAACTTGGAAACGCATTACTTGAGGAGTGGGAGCGGTTGCCTCAAGAAATCATCGATAACATAATCTGTAGCATGCTCAGACGAATGGAAACCGTAATCAGAGCAAGAGGGGGAAAACACTCGTTATTAATTTTGCTTTAATTTTATTGTTAAATCATTTAATGCTTACTTTTTTTATTTTTTGTGATGGTTCATAATCATCTAAAAATTTCACTTATTTCAAATTTCTTTATTTTTCAATAAAAAATAACGAAGACTTTTCAAAGTCGTTGTTAAAAGATGTTAATCAATTTGTTATTTTGTGTCTAATTACATTTTCGTCAAATATATGCGTTATTATCTCAGTCTCACTTTTTTTTCTGTTCCGCTAATTGTGCCGGTGTGTACATTACAAATGATTCAAAGTTCGTAAAAAAGAAGCATGAAAAGAGTGCCTAATAACATGAAACACGAAACCTGTAAAATAAATATCAAATATCGATATATCGCGATAAAAAATATCGACGATATATGTCGATAGTTGTATGGAAAAATATCGATGTTTTTCCCCATGCCTTCCTAGTTTTTTACATGATTGATGATTCGATCATTCGATCGCAGATATATAAAAGTAAAAGTACTCTTTGATTCGTTTCGTGCTAGCATAATACAATACAGTCAATCAATATCAATCTAAATTACATGATTACATGTAATTGGACTGAACATTGGATTTGTGGTGAGGAGGAGACGAGTGAATATTTGACGAGCAAAGAGTACTTTTGTATATCTGAAATATTTGTCTATCTGTTGACGAGTGAGTTTCTAACTCCCAAGTATCTCCTGTTATTTTATGTTCTGATTTGCCCGAACAGTGGAGACAATTGCACATTACATTAGTATTTTTACAATCATAAGGGTTATTTACCTTATTTTGTTTATCTATTGATGTTAGGCAGAAAAGAAAGAAATTTTACGGTCAAATTTGCTTTCATGCCAAATAAGCTACTTACTAAGTGAACATTAACGAGAAGGTTTTATTAAAATATATATAGAAATATGGCAGAAAACAATCCAGAACAGACCACCACTGATGTAGAGAGCAATTATACTACTCCGGCAAATGATCCAAAAAATATGCAGGAAGTTACGCAGTATGTAAGTAATTAAGTATTGACATAATATGCTTATTTTGAAATTTCATCAGTAACAATTATTTAATGAGATTTGAAAAAAAAAACATACATATTTACATAAATTTTTAAACTAAAGGATAGAATAATAAGTTGGATACAATATAGTTGTATCCTAAAAATTTAAGTTATTTAATATTATACATTAATGACAATTATTATCATTTTGCAGGTTCAATCTCTGTTGCAAACTATGCAAGACAAATTCCAAAGTATGTCTGATCAGATAATCAATAGAATAGATGAAATGGGTACTCGTGTGGATGAACTGGAGAAAAATATCACAGATCTCATGACTCAAGCTGGTGTTGAAAATGAGAAATAGGTAAAAAGTTATTCTCAGAAGTCTAAACTCATAATTTAAAGAATACATCCAAAGATACTTTGTGCCTGGATTATTGAAATGTTAAAGAATTCTGATTTTACTAAATTACTACTAATGCTTCAATTTATAGCCCATTTTGTCAACCCATTATAGCATATTCAACTAAATTTGAAATGTAATTTTACAAATGTATTAAGGCGATTGAAAAATTATTTTTCATTGGGATGCAATATTTAAGTTAAATTTGTATTGTAAGTTGTTTGTTTTCATCTTTACTACTGCTCTTTCTATTTACTCTTTAAAACCCATAAAAATTGCCTTTATACTTTTAATATTTTATATAGTTTTGATAGGTTCATTACCAAAATTGTAAGTGTCCGTTACAAATGAATAATGAGTCAAATGTTTTCGTTTGCACAATTCTCATTTAGATTTGTAAGTTACTTATCTTTCATTTACTTAATATAATTTTATCCAGGTTGTAATAAAATTATGATAAGTTTTCACATTTATATGTTTTATAAGTGTTAGAAATTCTTATACCAAGTTGGGATTGTGACTTACACACAATACTATGTTTACGTGCTTGCAGTATGTAAACAGAACATCAACTTTAGGTATGCTTTAAAGAATGTTTATGCAACTTTGCACTTTGTAGTGTTAATAATGTAGGGTCTTTTTAACACTAAGGATACATTTTATAGTTCACAAGTGAAGTAAGTTATAGTTTTTCATAATATATTGTAAAAGGATGAATTGACATGAAATAAAAATTCATAAATCTTTAAAGAGTTTTGCTAAGGTTAGCTTTGTCCAATTAGGGAGTCTATTGATTAATATCTGACCTGACACAACCTGGTACAAAATGTAAGGAAGGAGGGGACATAAAAGCTGAGATATGGTAATAAATTCCAAGTCAACATTTGTGTAACATGCAAGCAGTTCAGGGCTAACAAAATATGATGATATACATTTTCAATGCTCAAATTTGCCATATTTATATGCTATCACTTATCAATATTAAATTTGTTTGTAAAAAAACTACTACTTAAAGTATAACCTGTTATGTAGAGGCATATAATTTTTACATATAAAAGTGAATATAAAAATATATATTTTTCTGTATATATTTATATAATCTTTAAATGTTATTTTTTTAATATGCCTTATGTTACTTATATATCATATCATCTTATATTTATTTTCCTTCTATAATAACATTTTGTTACTCCTGCATTCTTTCCTGCACCTACCATGAACTCTCACTACATCTTGGGTTGATTGTTAGAGAATTCTTGGGAATAAAGTTTGCCCTTTGTTACCATTTTTATTTAAGGTTAGCAATAAAGCGTAATAAATAAATATAAAATATTACGTTCGTTGTAGAAATTATGGAATTGTTTGAAGTCAAGAAGTAAGAAAAATAAATAACAATAATTAAATTGTCTTGCATGTTTCATCATTTGAAATTAGAATTTCTTATTTCAATGCTCAGGAAAATTTCAGTAATAGGTAAGGTTTTTTTGGATTGATAATTAGATTACATATCTCCTGCATTGGTAAGTTAATGCTACTTAAAAAAAAATTTAATGCCCAATTCTTAATAGACATTTGTTTGTTTTACTATAGTTGGTTTCATTTGGCCATTAATAGAATGTATTGAATTTGTTGAATGTTGAAAATTGGAGAGGCGTATGCCCAACGGTGGGCGAACGCACGCTGAAGAATGGCATGGTGTGATCCTACTAAAAAATTTAATATTAAAAATATAATTTTTAAGCCATAAATTTGCCTGTTGCCAATCTTTAGCTTACAAGTTTGTGTATTATAGAGTACTCATATTTTTGTATTAAATTAATTCCTCGTTCTTACCTTTTGCCAGAATTATTAATTAAGCCAAAAGAAACAAATTAAATGCCATTTAATTTGTTTCATTCTTAAATTGCAGTCTTAATTATTAAGACTGAATTTTGCAAACAAATGCTAGAAAATAAAGACAATTTAATTATAAATACATTTATTAAATTGATGTATTTAACCTTACATTGTTATACATCAGTATGAATATATTTAATAGAATATTGGGATTAACGAGACTCTGTTTCCTCTGATGAATTTTCGACATCTGTTTCCGATTCCTGGAATTTAAGGTGGTTCATATGTAGTATAACATGATGAGACAGTCACATGATATCTGTTGAATATCCATTGGTACCTCAATGTTCTTCCTAGAGTGCTGTGCTCAGAAACACTGTTTATATATTTACAATTATCTATTATATAAAAAGTATTTATTTATAAAAATCTAAGAGCAACTTGACAAATAAACATGACGCCTACTTTAACATTAGATTACCCTGTGTTGTTAAGATATTATGTATGCGGTTTGCCACTGTATAAAATGTAAATATAAATAGAACCAACATGTAGATGGAACCAGATCGAAGTCATGGCGCTATCAAACACATAACCCGCTGAAAGTTATTGTTTACGACATAATACTTCAAGCCGTACCGTTGTATCCTCCTCACTCTTAGACGTCGACTGGCTCATCAGCGCTGCTAATGAGCTGGACCTTGCGATGTTTTTCTCTGGCGATCTTATTCTACCCAAGTTCTGTAAAACAATATAAAAACTCCAGATAAAATCTTAATGTTGTTGTGGGTGGCAAGGAATATTGGCCGCGCGACCCAAATGGATTGGTTCCACGATAGTGGACAAATTTTTCCTCTACTATCGTTTGCCGGTCCTTATAATAAGGTTGAAAGCAGATATATTAACTGTAAAGCTAATAAAACAGATATATAAAGCTGTTATTTCGTGCTAGTTGCCCATCAGTTGGAATGTCGAACTAATGGCCTTGACTTGATTATTTGGTAAAATAACATCCTATACATGTCCCACTGCTGGGCAAAGGCCTATACAGAGGGTATCAGGGCATAGTCCACACGGCCCGTGGATTGGCGGACTTCACATCTTTGAAAAATATATTTTTTTTGTTATTATTTCGAAAATATGCAGGTTTTCTCACGATGTTTTCCTTCACCGCGGACAACATGATAAGTCAGCACTTAAAGTTAAAAACTTCATTGGTGCCGGCACCGGGGATCAAACGCAGGTTGCCCGAGTATATTTAATTAAAGGCGAGCGCCCGGACACTGAGCTATCCACGCATCTTATTGATTATTTGGTAATTTATTGAAATATTTGATTAGTTAATTTAAGAGGCTTTTTTATTTATTTACAATTTTAGCATTTATAATCAGGCCAGTTTCACGTGATAACAATGTGAGTGTCTTCAAAGATAGAATGAATAAGATTTTTCTGAAGCTTTACTGCAACACGCCCAGTTTTACTCGACTTTGAATAGATCCCTAAAGCTGGTCAATGTCCAAAAAAGTCGGCGATTGGGTCGGTGCAAGTCATGTGACATTTTCTAATCTGCGGCGAAATACTGGGCGCTTCTTTGCGGTAAAAATAAAAAAAAGTAAAGGTAGGTAAGTAAATAATTAAAAATAAGCACATAAAAGACGGGCTCAGACCACCTTCATTAGACAGACCTCAGATGCTCAGATCGTTAGCCGTAGAAGAACTTTGCATTTAAATTTAAATAGGCAGTACAGTGTGTCCGGTATGGCCATCTTTTTCAGGTAACTCAAGGTATTTTGTACTGGTGCCGCAAAATGTCACCTAGTTTTTAAATCGATGGAAAAGCATGCCAAGAGGTAATACAATAAAGGCTGTAGAAGCGGCTACTGCTGTGCAATAGTTCTTTATTGAATTGTCTTCGCGTAGAACAAAACTAAACTGTTAAAAACATACGAGCTTATCTCATAAACTCTCACTAGTTTTGTAACAAGTTTAATTTTCTTAAATGAGTTGAAAGTTGATGAGTTAATTCCCCCACCCGTATTTATCATTGAAAATGCGGACACTGCAGACCTAAATCCTTTTCGATAGCTGAGATCTATATTTTCAAATAGTGGGTGCAGTATACCCAATTGCAGCTCATTAGGAAGAAGTTAGAATTACCTTTAAAAACACGCGACTTGTTTTTTGATATATCTATAGTTGTTAATTTTCCGTTGCTAAATTTACTTTGCGCGAGGTTATTTGTGCGAAATTACCAATTAAAATTATACGTAGTATATTGACCAGGTCTCTGTTTCGACAACCGGGAATGGAACAATGTAACATCACCTCTACTTCCGCTCCAATTCAACTTGGCAAAACTGAATAGACAGGGTTTTAATGGGCTCTAGTGGGTTTACCGTATACGGTCACATAGTGTTCTTACCATCATAAGGGGTAATCGTCAATATTGAGATAGTTGTTGAGCAGAAAAAAATTAGGTTTTGTGACCTTAACGAAAGGCGGTAGTCTGGTAACCTCAATTCGGTACTTTTCCGTTAGAGGGGCGCAAATGTCGCCAATTATGAAACAAGCGCGAGCCAAGTCGCCAAACGAAGCGAGTGACAAAACTGTCCACGGAATCTAAAACGTTCAACGAAAAAACATTACGAGGTTTTTAAGATTTTATCATTTAGATATTATTATACATATTTCATTTTCTCTCGCCAGAACTCTCGCTATGTCGCCTCACCCACTCAATTTTAATTCCGCTACGGACCCGCTACCTCGTCCTTTCGCTCGACTTGTCCTTGCGGGCTTGCTCCACTCACGATCGCGAACTACTGGCTCCGCATTTTTATATTCACTCTAGGGGTGGGGACCACAAAACTACCACTACATGGGATTGGGGTGTTATGTGTCGGATCTGTTATTCACATTGAACCTAACCTAATCCACTAGTAACCTAGGTCCCATAAGGCTCCTTGATATATAAAAACTTAAATGACATTTGCGCTGGGCTGGCGGAAAAGTACCGCCAATTCTATTGAAAAACTAAAAAGAAATGTTTGTTTCAAAATAATAAATGAGATTTTTGCAAGGGCAGACCGTAATGTCGCCATCCTCTCTTGACGGCGATTGTTGATTCATCAACGATGCTAGCGATGAAGAGCGCGCCGATATTCCAGTGCTGACTTGTTTTTCCGGTGATCGTAGTTTCCTTTTGAAATTCTGTGAAATTGTTGAAATTCTTTAAATACTTTATGGAATTAATTACGTTCGTTTGTCAATACTCGAAATGGCATTAAAAGTTAATGATTAAGGTACATAAGCTCTTTAATACGAAAGGAGAATTAAGTAAAGGTATTTAGTTACTTTATATATTTGGTAATATCGTTGGAAATAACTTACAAACATCTATATCACATATAATATTACAGAAAAATGTTTACCGTTTGGTCTCCGCTATCGGAAAGTCCTGTATCCAAAAGCTTGACAAAAAACATTAAGTATGTTATTGTATTAATAAATAACATGTACAACGTAGAAACCAAACTTTGCTGGTGACGATCATAATCAAAGAGACGCTACGTTACCTATTAATACTGAGCCCAGAAAATACACTTAATTATTTTGATTGTGCTCCAATTCATATCTTTCTTGTATCTATCGTACGTAATCCTTATCTAATATATGATCTTTAGATCATCTATTAAATACCGATTACGTACGATAACCGATACATAATATGACTGAGGAAAGATTAGTGAAATATTTGACGGAAGAGGCGGCAAAGGGTTGATTCTTGGTTTTCCTCAGTCTACCATGTGGAGTTCTTTAGAGACCTATCACCAGCTGTAAACGAAGGATTCTCCATGCCATTATGTTTGGTGCGGCGCTGATAATTATAATGATGCTAACTAACAAAAATGTATGTCAACCACGCGATCCCTATGCGGATTGGCTGACCTTACATATCTACGAATTAATGATTTCCAAAATATGCACGTTTCCACACGATATTTTTCTTCACCGCAGAGCACGTGATAAGTCAGCACTTAAAATTGACACTGAGCTATCACGGCTCGTCGCTGGTAACACGGAATGGAAAAATCAGTTAAAGTTTTCTCTACTGCGTGGTTGCTAAAGTGTATTACTACGCAAATAATCATTCAGTTCAATTCATAGAATAAACTCAATTAACCAATTGATTATTCTTCTATTTTCCTTTAGATCTAGCCTTTCCAACCATTCAATAAGAGTTTGGACACTTGCGTGTTTAGTGGACGTTACGGATTTATTTTAACAAAATTTAAGTAATGTGAACATTACTTAAATTTTGTTAAAATAAATATGATAAAATGAAATAAACTTTACTATCCTTCTCATTACTTTCGAGGCAAAATAATCGGTAGAAAGTTATGATTATAGTTATTTCTTCTTTAACTTTAATCCGTTTTTAAGTTTTTTTCATAACAACGATCCATGAATACCTCTAAATCAGCTTTGTCGTTTATGTCTGCTATTTGTTGATATGCTACTGTGAAGAGCTCGACCGCTTTAGCGTGAAACGTCATTTCTATCATAATGAAATTCGATAAAAGGGACTTTAATTGCTGTAGTTTGCGTCGCTCAAAAAACTCCGTTTGTTCGCTTAAACCTTTTGCTGTGCGTGTCATCTCTGCTGAGGCTTTAAGTAATTCTGATTCAGCGTAAGTCTAGAATAAATTTAGATAAATTTTAAAAGTTAAAGAAATTCATAAAGAAAGAAAAAGACACGCCAAATTCATGTTATAATTATTACATCTAATACCTACCACTTGTTGCCTGTTAAATGGTTGCCTTTCCCTGGCTTTGTCTAAAACCCTTTTCCGCGCCATTTCTTTTTCTCTAACGTTCATTGTATGTTTTAGTTCCTCTCTTGCATGTTTACAAATTGCTTCATATTGACAAAGTTCACCAATCACCTATGATGTGATTCAGTATATTTTACATAAAAACAATATCTTTTATTTTTAATATAAAAATGATATTATTTAATTATAATAGTACCTTAGCTTCTAATCGTTGTACTTCACAATTTCTGTATTCTTCAACTGCTGTTAAAGTTATTGACAAATTATCAAGACCTGCACTTAAAGATTTATTTACAATTTCGTTGTTTGCATAATCTTTTATTACTTTGGTTAGCTCATCGCCCATATCACGTAGTCTGTTAAACCAAAGCATTGAAAAAGAAATAAAATTTGTTAAATTTAATCTAAGCACCATTGTTAGTACCTATTAAAATTTCTAGGTTTTTTGGTAATGTATATTTCTATTAATTCCACAAACTGAAAATGTAAAGACCCATTTATATGGTTTACCTTGCAGTTTTCCGTGCGTAATCGCCAAATGCTACACATAATTCACCGAATTTTTTTTCCACACTTGTTATGCGATCTTGAATAAATTTTGCTTGTTGTTCATAGCTTATAGAATGAGAATTCTCTCCTCTAAACATTTTCAATATATCATTTATTATATATAACTTGAGACATAAAAGTTGCTTAAACTGTTTGACTTTACAGTTGCCACGGTAACCTTACTAGCTTATTTCATTTAAGTATATGTACTTTTTATTATTTAAACTAATAACGTTTTAAGTTTAAAATTTATTTTTAGTAAATATTTTTTAAATTTATTAAACAGTTACATTAAAAAGTTGTATATTATAGAAACAGCCTTATACGTTATTACGAGCATTGAAGAAGCACAGAGAGATCTATAGAATTTGAAAAAGAGATTTTTTTATATTATAAATATACATGTACCAGTAATTCGCTTATAATTTTACCTTAATTATGTTTTTCTTTATTCTTAAATTCCACAGTGGCTGAAAGTACATAACTGCTATCGTTATTTTAGAAAAGCAAAACTGACATTTGTTTACAGTTAGTCAGTTACACTGTGAAGACAAAACAGCTGTTTCTTGAGTTTATTTATGTTGTGGGATTAATTGAATAGAAAATAAAAATGAATGAAGAAATTGATGAATATGATATTTACCATCAGGATTTTACTACTGTGTCTGAATGGGAAGTCTTTATAGCAAGGCTCGAGGAAGTCATCAGCGACTGGCATTTGTCTAAATCCAAATTATTCAAACATCCTACTGATTACACAAAGAAATGGATATCTAAATCAGAAGAAATCATGTTTAATGGCATAAGTTTTACACTAACTTACCATATGTTGGAGCCATTAAAGGATGTACAAGAGTTAGAATACTCAGATGATCAATCGCTTCTTTCGGAATTGCAAAAAGGGCTTTGGGAGTCATCGTCAAATTTCATAGATGATGTTGACGGAAGCCCTTTTCCAGTTTCTAGTTGGTTTGGTTTAAAAAGATATTTAATGCTATGTTCTGATATCCCATTGACCGACGGTAGTTTAATTAAACTTGTGATGAGTTCAGTAAATATTGCATTTGCTAATGTTGACTGTGGAATGCCTTTTTTTGTAAAAATACGAGAACATTGGCAACAAGTGTTTTTAGGTATCTATGAAGATAATGATTATAAGACTAGTTTTGATACCATACATTTAAAGAGAATTTCAAATCAATGCTCACATCTCAGTGGTCTGGTAAGCCTATTTAAATCTAAAATTGCATCACCAGTTGCTTTAGATGCAGTTCTGATATCAGCAAAATTCAGTTATGAGCTAAAAGACACAGACACATTTTCATGGAAGCGGAGAACTTACTCAAACGAATTCCTATCCATTGATGGATTTGATGTTAAAAAACTAATAGAATTACCGTTTGGTGCAGAAAAAAATCCGTTGCAAAGTGCTTTGTTAAATGCCATTTGGCCACAGTTTCGCGAGAGTGCTATTGTCGACTCTTCTACTTTTTCTGATATTGATCCGATAATGGCTCCAACTTGGACTATTACTCTTAAATTAGGGAACAATATTAATTGTCAATTATCTGAAGTAATTAATAAGATGATGAATTTGTTAGATGAGACAAATTTATTAATGGATATATTAGGATTAAGTAAGAGCTTGGGCTTGGTCAATCCATTGCATAAGATTACTGAAGCACCTATTACAATTTCTAAATTGGTCAAGGCTGCAATGAGACAAAGTACAAATGTTACTGAGTTTAAAGGTCCTATAACAGATGATTTGTTGATGCCACTGCTATATTATGTTTTTCCGGATGCTGTTGAAAATAGTAACTTTATGTATCCTGATCAGCTAGATATGGATTCTAAGCAAGTATGCTATTCCAAAGCAATTATTCATTAATTAGAAGTGATTTAAATTATTTTAATGTGTAATTTTGTTTATGGTATTATGATATTATTTATTAATAGTCATTAATAATAAAATGTTATATAATTTTTTTAAAAATAGTACAGTTGGTATTAATTTTCAAAACATTTGTAAATGATATGTTGTAAGAAAATCTCAGTTAACTTTTTGAAAATAAATATTGTAGAAGATAGCTCATAGGTGTATGACAATGGACTAATGAATATTATTATAATTTGTGCACTTGTTTACAGTGTGACAGTGGTGAGTCAAAACTGTGTTGCTATGTGAAGAACAGCCCTAAAGATGGTTTAGTTTGGAGGCTCTCAGTGACTGCAGCGCGTCTCATAGATGCTGGTGGATTGCCATACTTAGCACATTTTTGGTATGAATTTGTACAAGAACTTCAATATCGCTGGGAGCATCGTATTCCTGTGCCTGGGTTCGTATTTTTTCATATTATAACAATATCAATCTATTCCAAAATGAATCATTTAATTTTAAGTACTTAAAATATTTCCTGACAAACATTCTATTTCTTTTTTGTCACTTGTCAGAAATTGGAACTTAAACATAGTTTTTTCTATCAATATCTTTTAATATACAGGGTATTTATGTTTTTTTCATTGTAGTTGGATTTGTAATTGTTGATTTGTTTTAATAAATGGAACTTTTAAGTTTTAACTGATTTTAAGTTTTACCGAAGATAAAAAAACTTTGTATTTCGGCAAATAAATAAATTGTTGATTGTTGACTCTCCTACTCTAAGTAGGAGAGTCAACAATTTGACTTTGACTCTCCTACTCTAAGTAGGAGAGTCATAGACGCACGTAAACGCGAAAGTTAACGTGCGAAAAAAATGGAAGATATTCCCAACATTGTACTTTTCGTACATTGCTGTAATCAAAAGTAATGTTTTAACATTATAATTTCCAGCATGGGTTAAGATAATTCAAACCAAGTAACCAAAAATATTTAAGGTTATTGTATTTTGATTGCTTTACAATAAAGAAAACTTTGGTTTATATAATGTTATATCAAAAGTATGACAAAAACCTGTGTTGATAAAACATTTATTTTTTATTTTTACTCTGTACATTTTATGAATTAAATATGAACAATTGCCTTATTAAAAAATAGCACCATTAGGATTGCTCCTTTCTTACATCAAGTTTTTGATTTGTAGACACAAACACATTTAATTTTACAAAATAAAAATTAAAGGAAGAATAGCATTAAAAAAATTGATTTGAGAAGAAAAATAAAGTATCATATGTTAAAAGTAGACAAAAATAAAGTATTTGGAAGAAAAAAAAGTATTTTTCAAAATTTTATTTATTTCTTCTTTTGAAGATATATTTTTGTATGCTTCTAGTAAACGCTCACAGTTTTTCACTACATTAAAATTTCTGGAAGCTAGCTTTGCAATTCCCAATTTAAATCAACAAGGACTTTATTTTTTAGTACATGTAGTAGTAGACAAAGACACTGATCCCTCAACGTTTATAAATATATCAAATGACAAATTATCACATAAGAAAAAAGTGATAAAATTTTCTAGGGAAAACATGTTTTTGTTTAATATCAAAATATAATTAAAAGATAAAGCTTCTTATTAGAAAGCGTACTTTTTCAACTTAGAAATATCGAAAAAGTTTGGTAATTATTCATATAGGTACATATATTGTAAGTGTTTCATTTTATGCATCACAGTAAATAATTAAATATTGAAAATAAAATATTTTCATATACTTTATTCTTATGTAAAAGTATAAAGTATATTTACCAAAAATAAAGTAAAATACTTTATTACATAGTATGGTTGGAAACCCTAGTCACAATGCAAAGCTGTAATTTTAATTTAAAGTAAATAGGTACCTAATATTAAGATTTATTTGTAATTTAAATATTTATTGTATTTACATTTATGACTATTCTTAAAGATCCATATTTATCAACTATATTTAGGTTGTTGAATTTTACTTTCCTAATAGACCATCTTAAAATAATAACTTTAAAGTGTTAAAAAAATATGCAACATCAGTTAATAAAAGTCCAATATTTACAATTTTTCACTACTTGAATAAAAATTACAAACATTTGTTGTGTGAAAGAAAAGGATTTAACTGTGACTAGTAGTATGTTTTACTTACATAGCATTGATGATATGAATAAATCATATTATATGTTTGATAGTAGTATATTTGTTTATTGTTTTATGTACATTAATGAATTAAAAGTAAATTCTTTTCATTATTCAAACTGGCTGTCAGTGCAATAGAAAGCAATTTTGATTCAATTCTATTCTAGTATCTATATGTACACTATGATCATGCCATTTTACATTTAGAAAGTTTACGACTTTCTTTAATGAAAATGTACACAAGGTCTCTTCTATAACCCAACTTGTAAACTTTATGTACTTTTAAGAGTTTAAGTGGGTAATTAGTAGTACTTTCTAATCATTCTTAAAATTCTATGCTTATATATACAATTAATTTCGTATGCGATGTTTTATGTATATCATGTATCTATGTGTTTCGTTGCATGAAGCAGGATATATTTAGATATATTTTCCCAACACGGTTTCAGGTAGTTAACCTTAGTCTTAATTAAAAAGGCGCGCCTTCACGTTCGCGTCGTAGTTTTCCCACGTTTGTTCAATGCAACTGTTGCGTCTTGCGCGCCCTTGGCGGTGTGAGCGTCGGCGAGGGCGTTTGTGTGCTTCGTGGTCCTCACGCGTGCACCACCAAGTGCAGGTTGAGGTGGCTTGCCGCGACCGCGAGTAACGTGCGTGGCCCGTCCTCTCCCTCGAGGGCGCGCTCGCATCCCTCCCGCGCTATAAGGGCACCAGGCCGCCCCTGGCAGTCGCGTTACGCGCCATGTATATATCCATATCGTGATCCGTCCAGTTGTCCGAGGTATCGCAATACCCTAACCCCAGGGAGCCGACGCTGTACCGGCTGGCTGGTCGGGAGCGCGACCTTGGTCTCCTCCTGGAGCCAGTCGTGCCGCCGGTCGCACCGCCAGCGGCGCCGCTCAACGACAGCCGCGACGCACGTTCCGATGTCCCGCCCAACGACTGGCGCGATTGGCGCAGATCTGGAAGTGGAAAAAATAATGTTACCGGATATCGGCGTCGTTTCAAAATAACTTTTTTTAAATATGAAAGGACATCTTCCTTAGCCCGTTGACCAATTTAATTCGCGTCACTTACCGGTTCTAGATCCTAACAAACTGCCCGGGTATCCTGGTGCACCGTAGCGACCAGATTGTGAGTAACTGTGTTGCGATTGGCCATCTGCGAGGGAACGGGTGCGGCCCGGTCGGCCTGGCAAGGGGTCCGGAGCAGCCGGTTCTGTATAGGTACGTGCGCGGGGGATCGAACGTGCACTGTAAGCCGACACCTGATCCCACTCACGCTGCTTTCCGAATGCGCCGATTGTTGCTAGCGATGATAAAGGGCCACTGGGACTCGGCGTTCCGGGCAGACCGCCGCAGCAGGCGTTCGCCATCTTCTCCGGGGCCTGGCTGTGGAGTCGGTGGACAGTTCGCGACCGCCGACGGGATGCCGCCGCAAATATCAGAACCGCCACGACGATAGTACCGCAAATGGCTGCGCTTGCGGCTATTGTTATTTTATCCATGTTGGACGCCGCAGCAGAAACCGTTCGTACTTCCCTACATTGTGCGTAAGGGACGGTCTCAGGACTCACGTGCACTTCTTCCAATGAGATAACGCAAACGACTATACATTCCTGCAACAATATTTACCTATGTAATGGGAATTGGAAAAACCATGTTAGGGTAATACACGAAACTGGGTATAATTTACCTGAGACGGAACGTTTTTAATTTTAAATTCTCTTTCGCTTGCCTCTAACGGTGGACCTTGCTTAAAGCTCTTGTCTCCGAATAATCGATATACGACACGGAAGCCAAGTATGTTAGCGACATCCGAGTCCCATTGTATTATTACAGAATTGTCTTGCCTGTATGCATTCTTCACGATGACTTCGTTCGAATCATCTATTTTTGGCTTTTGTTGGGGAAAATTCATTATTAGCGGTGGACGTTGATCGGATGGATGACGCCAACTGGGTGCCGCTGGTCGTACGGATGGTATACGACTAGGTCGATCGGTGCTTGTGGTGGTTGTCGGTGTACTCGATGTTTTAATTGTAGTCTCTTCAAAGATGCTCGGATTTGTAGACATCGTGTTTGTGGAACTGTTCAATGCTATTCTGGGGCTAGTCGTTGATGTCGTGCTCGTAGTTGGACTTGTAGCTATGGTGCCTTCTTTGGTAGTCGTAGAATGAGTAGTAGAACTTATTGGTGTTGATGTTAATCTGTCCGTTGTTGCGGTAGCTTCTTCCTCGCAAATAAGTTCATTTGGTTCAAAGCTGTAAAATCCGCGATCTCGAAAGTGCGCTGGATGACCACAAAACTGTGGATTCCTTTCCCGGGATGTAACTTGAAGTTCACCGCTTCTTATCCACTCAATTATCCAACGGAGGCGACAGTCGCAATTCAAAAATCTTCCTCCTACACTTAGACCACGAAGTGTGTGATTTAGATGGGTTAGAGCTCGCTCTGGTACGGTAGGTAAGGGGTTTCCGTCTAATGCTAATAATGTTATGGAAGGGTTCTTTAGGAAAGCGTCAGAAGGTAGTTTATTTAACAAATTAAACCCAATGTCTAACACCCTCAGTTCAGTTAAAGTTCCAATAGCTGCAGTAGGAAACTCTGGCAATAAATTATTAAGAAGGCTTAATGAACTTAGCGTATTTTTTATACCGATAAATGCATCTTCCTTCAAGTTTACCAATAAATTTCTCTCTAAATTAAGTGCTGTTAAAGAATCTAATCCTTCGAAGGTTCTGCCATCCGGCCCAGGAAGTTCTCGGATACTGTTTTGAGATAAATCAAGAAATGCTAGATTACGTAGGCCTTTTATACTTTCTGGGACAGTTTTTTGTCTGGTGCCTTTCAAATTAAGATTTTTTAGAGAATTCTCTAAACCCGTTAAGGCTTGCGGTGCTAATGTCACGTTGTTGTCAGATAACTTTAAAGTTGTTAACTTTTGAAGTGTTATAAACGCATGATTGCCTACGCGCGTTATCCGATTTTTAGATAAATCCAACAGTGACAAATTAGTTAAAACCCTTAGAGTTCTCACTGGTACTTCCGTTAATTCATTGTCTTGCAAATTCAAATTTTTCAAATAAGAACCTTGGTCCCTGAAGGCGTCGTCTTCTATTTTTCTCATTTTGCATCCTGATATTTGCAAGTTATGGATCTTTAAGTTCGAAAATATGTTATCGCTAAGTATTGGAATTGATGAGTTGTTTATGTAGAGTAGGTCAATTGATATTTTTCTTGCATTCGAATTCAGCGCTGTCAGGAGCAAAGCAAAGTCAACCTGTGAAATTAAATAAATTAGAAGAAGAAATTAGATAGTTTATGCTATTAAATATATCTTAACATGGCTTGGTTTATACCTGATCGCATTGAATAGAGAGATCTCGGGCCAAATTAAGAGCACAGACGCACGTTGACTGTAAGTTTGGTGTCTCTTTCCATGGGCACTGTGCTTGTGCATAACGGAACGAATACACAAGAAGTAGAGTTAGCAATAAGAATTTCAATTTACCATACTCCTGATGTTCCTGTAACAAGATGGTTTCATTATTTTTATATAAAATTTTTTGTAATCTTCATTACATTCATATAAAAACTTAAGAACGTAAAATATTTTATAAAGGATGTTTATAAAATATGTATATCCGGATAAAGGAACCCTGAAACTTTGCAAAAATTTAAATATTTCTCTTTAAATTCTCATGTTCCGCTTAGGACCCCTTTCGGTGGCAAGCCTAACCGCATTCCGTGTTATAATATTCGTTTAAATAACTTAGCTGCTTTTATATTTGAAATTACATTACGCTCTTTGGCTTTTACGTTTCGTATAAATATTTTTTTAGATATGTATTCGCCGATGTGGAAAAGTATAAAATTTAAAAGAACATAAATAATAAAACTTTATTCGGATTTATCAAGACAGACATCTCTATATATAAAAATGGATCGCTGAATGTGTTGTTTAGCGCAAATCTCGAGAACAACTGGACCGATTTCGCTTATTATTTTTTTATAATATTCTTTAAAGTCCTAGGATGGTTCTTAAGGAGAGAAAAATTTAACAAATTGCCTGAGAAAGTCTAAAAACAATACTTTTCTATATTCCCGTACAAAAGATTCCTAATAATACGTAAAAGTCAATTTGAACTTTAATACCATACCATAAGTTTAAGCGATTTTCATGAAATTTAGTATGTGCGTAGATTCGGGGGCGAAAAATCGATGTAGCTAGGTTTCATTTTTAGAAAATGTCCTTTTATGCCTGTTTTCAGGGAATGAAAAATATTATTCGAATATGACGGTAAATTTCGCTAAAAAAGAAAATGTTATAATAGCTCGGTCGGTAATCGGGTGGCACCAAAACAGACCAGCCGTGGTTCGTGTCACGATTATTTACACTCTTTTTTTTTTTACTTTTTTTCGATTCCAGACCATTGCTTTTTTTATTTTATATTTTTCGTTGATCCAGATGATTTTGTTTATTTTTTTTTCTTTTTTTTAAAAGTTGTTTCTTTTGTGAAAAACCCCACTTCATATTTTCTTATTATTAGGTCGGTAAGATCGAAAAATATTATGCATATTTCATTACTCAGTAATTTGTATCTGAACGTAATTTACAAAATACACGATTTACAAAAAAAAAAAAAGAGCAAAGCTCGGTACTCCAGGTACCTTGAAATGTAAACGTCTCTTTGCTGTGCATCATTAGTATAAAACAAAATCGTCTTGCTGTTTGTCTCTCCATACGTAGAGACTTAAAAGAAGTTAATCTAAGCTTAGATCTTTAAAACTACGCAACGGATCTTGATGCTGTTTTTTTTACTAGATAGAGTAATTCATGATGAAGGTTCATATGTATAATACATTGCTCCCGAGCGAAGCCGGGGCGGCTCGCTAGTACTTTATAGAAATCAGCGTTTTCACTTTATTCAGAATCAACAAAGAAAAGATAACTCTAATGTACTCGGTTATAAAGAACCGATTGGTTAAAATGCAATGGTCACGGAAAGTCTGCTGCGGTTACTACGTTCATCGCGAGAGCTTGGGGGTTTATCTGTAGTGTCGGTTCTGAGACGAGATTGAGCGATTCCACTAAATCGGACGACAACTGGTAAGATTGCGAATGCGGTTGCATGCTGCATATTGCGATCCGGGAGACTGCGCAGTGCGCATGCAACGGGCGGCAATCAAGCGGCGCGCGGACCGTTGCGGAGAGAATCACTAGCCACCAGCCCGGAAAACGGCGGCTTTCCCCGCATCATGCGTTATCGTCGTTTGTTCGCGCACCGTTTCGTGACCGTTTCTGCGGTGGTCGGTTCGCAACTTGAACTGGCTATCTTTAAAAGCGAATGGAAATCGCTCACGATATTGGCGTCATGATAAGCCTATCATTTATGGTCTACTAATGTAAGCATGTAACATAGTATAAGTATGTGTACATTTGTATACACTCTTTAGGGTTATAGAACGGTACTCGGAATCAACAATCGGCTCTGAATATTACGCGATTCAAAAGCTGTTGTAACGTGAATTAGAAGTGCTAGAATAAAACTCGCTAGGAAAATCCAAATACATTAAAATTCAACTAAAATTGACAGTCAATTAAAATCAACAAAAAAAAAATACACCCTACAACGTTGAAGATGATTACACACTAAAACCGGTTGCTGTGAAAGATCGTTGGACCGTTTGTGTGCTAGCCGGCTAATGGTCGGTTTCGCCTGTAACGGTAAACTCCGCCATGCGATTCACTTTCGCGTCGCCGAAGCAAAAGCGGTAATATTTCACCTTTGTCTATAACGTGTTTGTCCCTGTTTGTGCTAAAACATTACGGCAGATGCTCTCTAATACCTGTTTAGATTTCATTTTCTATTAATTTCTGCCGTGCGCAACTTGTCAACATAACACGAAGAAAGCCTAAACAATATCCACCAATATAATAACGCCCATTAATACGAGTCACGGGCTATTGTTCGCACGCGTGGGAAAATGTCTGTTGTAATAAAGCATAGGCCAGATACGCTTATATTGAGTAACTTCGTCATAGACGTACCGCCTTAAAGGGCTAACACGCGATCTGTGTCAAAAAATTCTATTATAATATAATGTTTCGCGAAGTCTTACCGTAATATTCGGTGAACACGTGTTCAGTAATTTAAATTCCTTGGAGGCGACGCAATGAATACGGCGGCAGCACAATGATAAAAAAGTTTTGTAGTTATTTTTAATAAACAAACCCATAAAGAATAGATAGAGCAAGATTACTGTAGCTTAAAATGTGTTGTCATATATTGGAAACAGTGATGTTTATACGAAAGAAATCTTAGAGAGAAAAAAAATAGTACGTCCAAACTTGTAAGTTGTGTACTTAAGTTAGACTTTGCCATCACTATATAAAAATAATAAATAAAGTAGAACAGATAAAGTTACTAACATAATTAGAAGTACCTGGATGACCGAGATTTGCCCGGTATTTAAAAAAAAAAGTAAAAAAAAATAAGTGTGT